GGGTGATTGTTGCTTCTTGCTGTGCTCTTTCTCAGTGATCTCCTCTGGGATCCTAATGGACAAGCCTTTTGGGCTATAGAACAGCTGTCAGCAGCTGGAAGGAGGAGCTTGGATTGTCTCAAGGTACTCCAGGGCCTCTTAGCAACAAAAAGTGGAGGAATAGATGGAGAGCTGCAAAGCACAGAAAATGTGGAGAGAAAGGAAAGGGGAGAAGAGAGTGACAGAATAATGGGGAAGTGGGTTGTAAAGGAGAGAGAAAATGTGTAAAAGGGAAGAGATTGGGTGAGGAAACAGGTTGTCAGTGCAGGACAGTGCTGTTATGGCAGGTCTGGGGTGAAGTATGAGGGAGCTATGAGTAGGAGAAGCACATTGGTGTGTGCAGAGCTGTGTGCAGAGCAGCACAGGCTATAGGAAGGGTCTCAGTGAATCATAGAATCAGCGAGGTTGGAGAAGTCCAACCGCTGCCCAGCCCTGCCAAGGCCACCACTGACCCATGGCACTGAGGCCTCATCTCCATGGTGTGTGAGCACTTGCAGGGACGGTGCCTGCAGCCCTGCCCTGGGCAGCCTGTTCCAATGCCTGAGCACCCTCTGGGGCAGGAATTGTTCCTCAGCTCCATCTAACCCTGCCCTGGTGCAGCTTGAGGCCGGTTCCTCTTGTCCCAGCCCTTGTTCCTTGGGAGCAGAGCCCAGCCCCTCCTGGCTCCATCCTCCTCTCAGGCAGTTGGAGGCAGCGATCAGGTCCCCCCTGAGCCTTCTCTTCTCCATCTGAACCCCCCAGCTCCCTCAGCCCTTCCCCATCACACTTGGGCTCCAGGCCCTGCTCCAGCTCCATTGCCCTGCTCTGGCCCCGCTCCAGCCTCTCAAGGTCTCTCTTGCAGTGAGGGGCCCAGAGCTGAGCACAGGATCTGAGGTGCAGCCTCCCCAGTGCCCAGCACAGGGGCCCAATCCCTGCCCTGCTCCTGCTGCCGCACTGGTGCTGGTGCAGGCCAGGACGCTGGGGGCTCCTTGGCTGCCTGGGCTCAAGCTGCTCCTGCTCAGCTCCATCAATCAGCACCCCCAGGTAAACGAGGTGAAGAAGATTTGGGTTCCTGCAGCACTCAGCCCTGGAGGGGGGTTATTTATAGCAGCAACCACTGAGGCAGGAAAAGTTTGCTCAAGCTGTCATTTGTGTGAGCCAGAGAGCTGGAATCTCGCTCTCCCTCCTCCCTCCTGCTCTTGCTTGTTCACGTTTTCACTGTAATTACCAAGCTTTACATGAGCAGGGTCAGAGCAAGGAGCTTTCTTTAGAAGACTGTGTTCTCCAGGCAGGAATCAGGCAGGATTTTTTTGTCTTCTGGGAATACTTACCCTGAGTTTGTGTTATTTCGAGGGCTGTTCTCGTGCGCTGAGGTGGAAGCCGCGAGATGGGAGGGACAGAACCACACTGCTTCTGAAGTTGCAGCAGCCAGAAGCCACCATCTGAGACTGCAGAGTTGAAATGTTCACTTTGAGCTTAGGAGGGATAGAAAACTCCAACTGCAGATTCTAATCTGTGCTAATGTGGGTTTGTCCAAGATGAGGAAAGCATGTTAGTCAATACAGAGATGTTCTCCTGCCGCATGCCTTCAAAAGCTGTTTCCTTTCAAATGGGAAAAGCTGCTTTTTGGGTAGCCAAAGGGGTGGATTTGGACCATTGGGTCAGTGTGCAGTTCAAGTGGGGTAATAGCTGTGTCTCTGTGACGGGTGATGACAATGCTCTGCTGTCATACGTTGTAAGGCTTTGTGCAGTGTTTATTGTACAGTCACGGAATGGCTTGGAAAGGACCTTAAGATATCCAGTTCGAGTGCCCTGCCATGAACAGGGATGACTTACACTAAATCATACTGCACAAGGCTCTGTCCAGCCTGGCCTTGAACACTGCCAGGGATGGGGCATTTTCCCCACTTCTTTGGGCAACCTGTTCAGTGCCTCACCATCCTCACAGGGAACAAGTTCTTATCTCCAACCTGAACTTCCCTTGTTTCACTCTGAACCCATCACCCCTTGTCCTGTCACTGCAGCCCCTGATGCAGAGTCCCTCTCCAGCATCCTTGTAGCCCCCTTCAGACACTGGAAGCTGCTCTGAGGTCTCCATTCAGTCTTCTCTTCTCCAGGCTGAACAGCCCCAATGTTCTCAGCCTGGCTCCATACAGGAGGTGCTCCAGCCCCTGAGCATCCTCGTGGCCTCCTCTGGCCTTGCTCCAACAGCTCCATGTCTTTAGGCTGAGGACACCAGAACCGCACCAGTGCTGCAAGTGGGGTCTCACCAGAGCAGAGCAGAGGGGCAGGATCTCCTTGATAACATATGTGGTATTATCCCAGTTAAGGAAACTTCCAAGCTAAACTCCACAATGCTGCAAGGTTTCAGCAGTGTTTATGGTGTGTGGGATGTAAGTTAAGTTACTGCTACAGTGACACTTGGCTTGGTGACAACACACGTGTGTGTTCACGTGTGCTGAGCAACACATGGACACCCAGTAACCAGAGCTCATTACTTTGGTGTTTGATCTCTGCTTTGTTCATGCCCCAGGGGAGACTTTGAAGTGAAAGTGGATCTGTTCCATGGTACGGACACGTGGCCTGGATTGGAGCCTGGAGAAGCCCTCCTCTGGAAGCAGTAGCCCTGTGCATGTTAGGAGGTTATTAGATACACTGATCTTGTTGGGGGGAAAAGCATTCAGGGGTTTTCTTTGACATTTTTTCTATGTAGTCAGGGTTACAGCAAATAGAGTGATGGCAATATAGAGTTAGGTTTCTGAACAGGATGCCATAAATACTGCTTTAGGTTCTGTTTTATTAAATACTGATATTCCTCTTGCAGTAGATCCTGCTGTTAACTTGATTTTCAGTGAAGGCTCCAAGAAATCCAGAGTGATGGGCAAGCAATAGAAGGGATTCTGCTTGATAAGGGGCAAGGCTGATGCTTTCAGGAGGGATAAGCTAAGGGAAAGTGGGAAACTGGGAAGGTTTGGGGGGTAATGGGAGAAGGCAGATGTGCACTCAGGAGGAAATACAGACATGGTATTTTCAGGGACTTCATAGAATCATGGAATGGTTTGGGTTGAAGGGAGCTGAAAGCTCCTCCAGCTCCAACCCCAACCCCTTCCACTGGAGCAGCTTGCTCCAAGCCCCTGTGTCCTTGAGCACTGCCAGGGATGGGGCAGCCACAGCTTCTCTGGGCACCCTGTGCCAGCGCCTCAGCACCCTCACAGGGAAGAGCTTCTGCCTAAGAGCTCAGCTCAGTCTCCCCTCGGGCAGGTTCAAGCCATTCCCCTTGGCCTGGCCCTACAGGCCCTTGTCCCAAGCCCCTCTCCAGGTTCCCTGCAGCCCCTTTAGGCACTGGAGCTGCTCTAAGGTCTCCCCTTCAGGAGCGTTCTCTTCTCCAGGCTGACCTAGCCCAGCGCTTGAAATACTGCTGCAGGATGAGGTGGGCCCCTGGAATAGTGTTTTGGTGTCTGTCTACTGGGAGTTTCATATGAACGTTGGAAGAAAACAGGTTGGGGACTGTGGGAGACTGGATGGACTTCCATGACTTGATGGTTTTGGAGTGACCTGTTGAAAGATAGTTGGGAAATATGTTGACCGCATTTATGGGGCTGTTTGTGGGAGTGGAGAATGTTCAGAAATGGGTAATTTGAACTTCTAGGAAGAATCCTTAGTGGTAAATGACATGGAAGAACAGTGAGAACTGAATTAAGGCATTTGCAGTAACCCAGAGAGAGCTTTTACATTCAGCTCTCATGCTGGGTGACTTGAGGACATGATGGAACATGCATGTCTTTGGGGTGTGTGACCTCAGCAACCCAGTCTTTTCAGTTATGGTTTCTAGGAACAGAAGATACAGGCAATGCCTTGCCTGAAGTCAAGAATACAAAGCAAAAGTGGCACTTTGAACCCAAGTGGAAGTACAAGCAGTCCAGAAAGATCAGCAGATGGGTTTAGTGCACATGGAGAAATCAGAGACCAGAGGAAAGAGGTGAGAGCCAGATATTTGATGAGAAACAGAGCTGTTGGTCCAGGGTTCCATCATCAGGGCCATGACTGAGGGAAAGCACTGAACTAAGCAGGCAGCACCAGTAAGATGAGGATGGATCGTCTCCAGGTAAGGTTTAGCCTGTTTGAAGCCCATTTCCAATGTGGTTGAGCCTGGAAGCTTCATGGAGTTTGCAGCCAGGTTTAGTGGGTAAAAAGTACATTAGGGTTTAGTGCTCAAGGCCAGGTTGGATGAGTCTTGGAGCAACCTGCTTTAGTGGAAGGTGTTCCTGCCCATGGCAGGGGGTTGGAACTGGATCAGCTTTCCTTTCCAGCCCAAACCAGGCAGTGATTCTGTGATATCCCCAAGCAGGGGAGGGAGGAGAGGCACTGCTTTTAATTCCAGAGCATCTTTCCCTTCCAGTGACTCCTTCCTGTATCAAACACTCCTTGGATGTGAGCAGATCCAGCACATTTCCTCTTTCTCTCCTGGCAGTTGCACGTGGAGGAAACCACTCTGCAGTGATTCCCTTTGCTTGGGAGCCTGGGGCTGCCTCTGTGCTGCCTGCATGGGGGTGCTGCTGCTCTCCAGCATGGTTTTTGGGGAGGGAAACAGGGAAGTTCTGCCAAGGAATGGTGTTGACCACACAGTTTTCTCCAGTTTGGCACTGATCTTGCTGTTCTCCCACTTGTTTCGCTCCTCTCGTATTGGCAGCGGTGGTCCCTTTAGCTTCCGGAGAATGACTGGTGGCTTTCCCTCTCTGTGACTCATCCTCTAGGGAATTCCTGAAGCAGTGAGTCAAGTTATTGGGAAAACTGTTTGCCCACTAGTGTAAATGAAGAAGCCAGGGAGCCTGCCTGAGGTGTTGTAGAGGGGATTACTTTTCATTGTGACTGGTTGTCCTCTCTCTTGCTAAAGGCAGGTCCCTTCCAGATAAGCTATAGCAGGGAGACAGCAGTGCATAGATGGATTTTCCCCTTGCAGTATGCTCCTCCTGATGGTTTTCCTCTTTTCCTTTCAAGGTGGCTGATCTGACAAGCATTCCAGGGTGGAGGAAAAAGTGACAGGTTTGACTTTGCCAGGATTATAGTGAAAAATAGCTTGCCTAAAGAGATGAGGCTGTCAGATTGGCACCGCTCAGCTACAGCTGCAATACTCCTTTCGTAAGTACCATTTACCATTTCATTCTGCCCTGGCTGACTTTAATCCAGTCTTTTGTTCTTTTGACTTAAGACAAATGAATGGTTGTGTGCTTTCCAACTAGGAATTAACTAATCTGAAATATTGCCATGGGATATTACAACAAAACCAAAGCACTTGGATGCATCCAGGAGGAATTACCTAGTGTACCACATATGTAAATGTGGATTGGTCAGGGTTGTTTGTACTGATGCCAGTGAGACTGAGGGTGCATTTTTAAAGCAAGGTGCTTTTTGTATCTTAATTCAACCCATCCAAATGTTCTCTTTCTACATCCTTCCCCTGTCCCATTCAAACCCAGCTTTCCTTGTCACTGCCTATTAAACATTAGCAGATCTTATTACCCAGTAGAACAGCAAGTTCTATTTAAAATCCAGAATTAGTTTCACTTTTGAATCCATTCTTTTTTCCCCTTAGCAACTTGGCCATGTATTTTTGCTCAAGCTTGGAGGCTTCAGCAAAGCTCAGCTTGTGGGCTTCACTAGCACAAGTTGTAGGTGGTTGCAGATATGTCTGCACTGATACCACGACTGGGGGCTGGTTTTAACTGTCAGTAGACTTGGAGGGTGCTCCTGCTCTGCTCCCAGGTTTGCAGTCCAGGGGCTCATTTGAAGGTAAGTTCATCTCTCAATTCTTGTTTCTTATCCAGCTATTCAGGAAGGCTTTGGATTTTCTCTAGTCTGACAAGTACGAAGCTTGGAGTTCAATTGTGCTCCTATGGAGGTCATAGAGTAAAGTGTTAGGAAGCTTGGAGCTGAGGAGGCTCCTTCACCTCCCTCACAACATCATTCTTCCTTTAGTTTGGGCACTTGAAATGTCTCAAAGTGTTCATGGTCGTGATGTCCTCAGCTGAAAATGGTTTTAAGAGGACTGTGCTTATCCTTAGAAGCTGCTTTTTGCCAATGGAAAAATCCTGGCCTGTGGGGTATTCCATCTGGAAGAAACCCAGGAAGCTCTGAACTGATACCAGCTGATTAGAGGAGGTATATCCCATACTAGAGAGTTTCTTTTTAATTCAGTGGCTCCCTTCTCCTGTTTTTACACTGGTGGCTGTGAAGTTGTGAACAAGTGCTGTGAATAGTAGCGGTTGGCTCTCAGTTAACTCTTACACTAAAACCAAGGAGATTTGCAAGATGATGCTTTCTTTCCTGAAAGAAAAGACTTTTCATCACTGTGGACGAGTACATGCCGAGCAGATAGAGTGGCTGTTCCGGTGTCTAACAGAAAGTAATCACTCAGGAAATGGATTCAGCTTTGTAAAGAGCTGTCACAGGCTGAAGGTGAGAATCTTACAGAATCACAGATTGGTTTGGGTTGAAGGGAGCTTAAAGCTCATCCAGCTCCAAGCCCAACCCCTTCCACTGGAGCAGCTTGCTAAAAGCCCCTGTGGCCTTGAGAACTGCCAGGGATGGGGCAGCCACAGCTTCTCTGGGCACCCTGTGCCAGCGCCTCAGCACCCTCACAGGGAAGAGCTTCTGCCTAAGAGCTCAGCTCAGTCTCCTCTCGGGCAGGTTCAAGCCATTCCCCTTGGCCTGTCCCTACAGGCCCTTGTCCCAAGCCCCTCTCCAGGTTTCCTGCAGCCCCTTTAGGCACTGGAGCTGCTCTCAGGTCTCCCCTTCAGGAGCCTTCTCTTGTCCAGGCTGCCCCAGCCCAGCTCTCCCAGCCTGGCTCCAGAGCAGAGCTGCTCCAGCCCTCACAGTGTCTCTGTGGCCTCCTCTGGCCATGCTCCAACAGCTCCACGTCCCTCTTGCACTGTTTCCCTTTGCATATTTTATGCTTGTGTGTGTCTCCACTGAATGGAGGCAAAGGGATGTTGCCAACTTGCAGCATATTGGTTGTTTTCCTCTGAAATGATCGCTTTCATGTGGTTTTTAGACAGGGGAAATGTATTAATCCTTAGAATTGCAGAAGAAACGGTTGAAAACCTGAACCTTTTGTGTGCAGAGCCTAAACCCCTGATTTAAATATTTCAGTGGGAGCATCGCATTGTAAAAATACTTGTGGATTTTGACAACTCAATTAATGCCTTAGACTGCCTGGGATTACCAATACTATTGCTCAGGAGCAGGCAGTGTGTCAGCGTTGGGCCCTTTGTGGTGTGCACAGCATTGTTCTGCAGGGAAATAACCAGTTTGGAGTGAATAGCAAATGTGATACTAAATCTTCTGTGTTAGTAGGAAGGTTTTTGAGAGCTGAATGTTTTTTTCCTGTCTCAGGAGAGAAAAGGGACCGTTTAAGGAAAACCTGATAAGAGGCTTTTGAAATTCAAGGGTGTAAGTTGTAAGGCTGAAAGGTTAAAGAAGGGAACAAGCAGGAGACGTTGCCTGTGTTTGAAGATAGTGTGGGACTCATGGGACCTATTTCCAGCCAAGGCAAGAGGGTTTGGAATAAGGCACAAAGGGGATGGATTTAAGCAAGGAGCACATATACATAGAAAACACCTCAATGTGTTTATGCTGCCTGAGGCAGTGGGGCTGTGTGAAGAAATATAGGGAGGAATAAGCTGAAATGAAGATCATGGAATGGGTTGGAAGGGACCTTAAAGCTCATACAGTTGCAACCCCCTGCCACAGGCTGGGACACCTTCCACTAGAGCAGCTTGCTCCAAGCCCTGTCCATCCTTGAACACTGCCAGGGATGGGTGTGCAAACAGCGCTTCACTAACAGATGAGCCCCATCAAGTCACCCCTATCTGAGCCCCTCATCTTTCCTCTCTTCACAAGGATGTTCCACATGGGCTTTCTACCCCTGTCGGGTCATTGTCCCTGCAGCTTACAGAACCTCACTGTTCCCATTAAATAAGCCTTTCTATAAGCACTTACTGTCCTTGACGGAAATCCTCAATTAGAACTTGGATCCAACTTCATCGGTCCTCATCCAGCTGTTTTTAAGAGCTTGAAATGGAGCTCTTTCTGCTTGAGCCTGGTTCCTCACAATCTGGGGATTGTTCTTCCTCGCGGGGAGAAGGGAGGATGTCATTACATCCATGCAAAGTGTCCTGAAGCTCATAGGAGACACTTGCTGCCCTGTGTCTGCCCACATGCAAACCCAGCTCTCCTCCAGCACCTCTTGCAGGACCCAGGCATACCTGCTCACCACAATGTGGATCAGAGGCTCATAACATAAGGTGGGGCCAAATGAGATAGCACCAGAGGAAGACGAGCTCTTCTAAGGCAGAGGATCTCTGCTGCAAGCAATGCCCACAGGAATTGCAGGGAAAGCTCCTTCCCTGGGGGAAGATAGTACAGCAGCAGGCAGAAGGATGTGAGGATAGCTCTAGCATGACTATGATTAAGGGAACAGATCCGTACTTCAAAGAATACTGTCAGTGTAACATCTACTTACAACTAAGCCAAAGGTGGCTCAGCATGGGGAGGGGATGATGGCAAAAATCAGTGGGGTCTTTAACGCTGGAATAGCAATTTCACGCCTGCTTTTAAGATTCTCCTTTATTTATCCCATTTTCCAAGGAGAAGGAGATAAAATGAGTCAGTGGCAGAGCCTGGGGACTGAGGCATCAGGTTCAAGGAAGAAAAAGGTTCAAAAAGCCTCTTGTGACTTGGCACATTTCAGATGCAGCTCCCCCAGGATAAGGCCATGGCCCCACAATCTTCTCAGTACAGTGTCCTCATCACAGAGCTATATGATTAGATCTGGAGCTATAATACTGCCCATTGACACACATACCCAAAATACATCTCGGAGTAGAAGCTGACCTTCAAAACCCAGGGGACAAGAACTTCCCCATGGGTCCCACCAGCTTAAATTGTACATGCTGGCAGAAATACAGCCTTGAAGTGCATGGTGATGGTCACAAGAATACTGACAGTAACAAGAACAGACTGTTGGCCCAACACTGGCTGGAGAGAGACTTATTGTAAGAGTAAGCAGGGCCAGGCCAAGGGGAATGGCTTGAACCTGCCCAAGGGGAGGCTGAGCTCTTAGGCAGAAGCTCTTCCCTGTGAGGGTGCTGAGGCGCTGGCACAGGGTGCCCAGAGAAGCTGTGGCTGCCCCATCCCTGGCAGTGCTCAAGGACACAGGGGCTTGGAGCAAGCTGCTCCAGTGGAAGGAGTTGGGGTTGGAGCTGGAGGAACTTTAAGCTCCCTTCCAACCCAAACCATTCCATGATGTTCTTGGCTGAATACTTTGGTACTTGCTGAGTCCTTGCTGTGTCCAACCCATGCCAACACTGTCCTTTCACCACTGCAATGCCATGAGTGAGGAAAGGCTGTTGTGTCCATCCTAATGAGGATTTGGCTGGTAAGTGAACATGCGAGTGTGGGAGGGTCCATGAAGAGGCTGCGATGGTGTTCTGGAGGGCTTTAATCAGGGAAGGGATGCTGAGAGAGCCAGGTGTGTCTGGCTTCTGTCCATCAGTGATGTGTTGGGGGGTTGGGGTTGGAGCTGGAGGAGCTTTAAGCTCTGTTTCAACCCAAACCATTCTATGATAAAGTGGAAATGCAAATGTACCAGCAAGGGACAGAACCTGTTTCTGTTGATGGAGATGAGGAGGGTTGTGCTGTGCACAAGTACTTGCAGGTGCCATCCTGTGTGGTAGGGAGCAGAAGGCAGTTCCAAAGGAGCTAACAGGATGGAGTTGATCTGGTGATGTTCAGACATTGTACAGGGCCTGCCTGGGCTACTTGGGTGACTCCTGGGGCTTTCTGTTCTCCTACTGGGGCTCTGCAGCACCAGTGCTGTGCCTGTAGGAACAGCATCTCTGGGTACCTGGGCAGAGTGTCTTCAGGGAGAAGGGAAGGTGCCTCTGCTGTGGTAGCACAGGAAGAGCAGAGAAGAACCCTAAAGGAGATGCTGCTGTTGAAGCTGCCCTGACACAAGCTTGTTTTCTCCATCTCCATCATTTTTCTTCATCAGCTCCAGCAGATGAGCTGTGAGGCTGCAACTTCTCAGTGGGACAGCAGGTTGGAACTCAGATGTTCCCTTGGAACACAGTGGCATTTCCTCCAGCACCACAGCAGTGTATTGCTGGATTCCAGTGGCTTTCTCCTGCAGTGACTCCCACGACCATCTCCAGTGCTAAGACCTAGACATCCCCTTTCTTTTGGGCTTCCTGTAGGCAGTGAAGATGAAGGTCTGGTCACTGGGCTTTGAACACTTTGAGGGAGTTTCTCTTGGGCAAACCATACAGTAGGCCTCAAGGCAGAATCTGGGGAGACTGGTTCAAAGTGTGCTTCCAGATAGGAACCACAGATGAGTTGGGATCACTCTGCCATACCTGGGGCATGTGGAGTTGGAAGCAGCTCACCGGCTGAGGGGAAAGGTAGGTGATGGATCAGTTATTCTGGCAGAGCTTTCTCCTTCCTGCTGGTGCCTCCAGTGGTCTGGCAAAGTGGGAAGAAGCTTGGTACCAGCACATCCAATTTCAGTGTCTTCTTGGCCCCCCATCGTTTGCTTGAGGGCAATAACAAGGCATGTGCTGAACTCCAGGAGGTTGCGTGGGCCAGGAGGAGTGTTCGGAGGGTGCTGAGTGAGTGTTCGAGCCCTTGGAGATCCCCAGGGATGAGGGTTTCTAGGGGGTTAGTGTGTTGGGCTGTGTGGGTGCGACTGTGCTTCAGGTGCCTGGGTGATGGGTGAGCTTAAAGCTGCTCGTGGGTTTTTGGGTGGTGGGGAGTAGCTGATGCTCTCCCTTGCTGTTGGCATGGTGTGGGTGGTCTCCTGCGGTGCAAGATCCATGCACAACCCTTTCCCTCCAGCTCTGGCTGTGTTCAGCTTGTGTTTACTTGTATCCCTTCTCCCAAGACTAATGTCAGATGGGATGGGGTGCTGGATTAGCCTAAATCTCCTTGGTTTAGCTGGAATGTTGTCTCGCTGGAGCATTTTTCTCCTTTGCTCTTTTCTCTAAGCCTTCCCCTTCCAGACAGCTAATTCTCCCCTTCCCCCACATCCTGTCATACCCCAGAGCATGTCACAAGGAATTAAGGGCTGAAAGGCCTGGGAGAGGCTGCTCCTCTCGGAACAGTCTCTCCTTTCTATGACCAGGGTGGCCCCCTCTCTGTGTCCCTTTTGTGTCCCATCCAATTCCCCTCCCCCTGCCCATTCAGTCCATGCCAGAGCAGAGAGCAGCGCTCCTGAGCCTTTCCCAGCCCTGCTTCCAGGACTGCAGCTGATGGGATGTATGGCTCAGAGTCCAGCACGATCCCAAACCGCTGCCGCAGTGCTCGTGGTCCAGCAGCAAGAAGGGAGGAGGTTTGTGCTGCTGCTGGAGGGTTTTCCTTCTCTCCCATCTCCGTGTGGCTCTGACAGCATCACTCCCGGTCCTCCTTCCCACAATCCACATCCAAGCTCCTCAGAATAGGGATGATGTCACTTCCTTCCAGAGGGTGCCGGGGGTGTGGAAGGGGGGAGTCACGACCCCTGGCAGCCCTGAGGAAGAGCTGAGGTTGCTGCCTGCCTGCCTGGGAAGAGGGAGTTGCTCTGAAGATGATGCCCAGCTCTGTCAGCAGGCAGGCACCACGCCGCCCTTCCCTGTGCCGAGTGGGATTTTCAATGGCTGCAAGAAGAGTTTGCTGTGCCTTCCTTCACTCGTGATGCCTGTCTCCGTGGATATGCACTATTCCTGCAGTACCCTTATGGGAGAGAAGGATGTGCAGCAGCTGGGTAAGATTCCTGCTTCCGTAGATCTTTGGGCTCAGGGTCAAGGGCTTTGGACTTGTTGTGCACAAAGCTGGTGCCTGCATGTGCTTCCCCTCATTCTGGTGTTGGGAGCTCGGTGCTGCTTGTACTGGGATTCAGGCTTCAAGGTCCTGGGAATTTTTCCCACTCTTTTCCAGCAATTTTAGGGATGGTGCAAAGGGGGTTTTGCTGTTGCAAAACGGGTCAGTGGTCTCAGGGCTGCTGTGCACTTTCCTCCTAGTTCTTCCGTTAAATCACATCTTCATCATCTGAAGCACCTCCTGGGATGAAGCCAGGATTCCTTACACTGACAGCTTTGCTTTTTTATCCTTTGTGGGCTTTATTCTCAGGCCTTCTGTCATTTCCCTTCTTTCCAAACTGCCCTCATCCTTCATGGGGTGGGTTTCCAATAGATGGGCTTTGGGAGCTGTGCTTCTTTCTGCAGTGCACTGGGAGCATGATGAGCGTGGAGCCAGGAGTGACAGTCCCTCAGTGAGTGACAGGCTGCTCTGCTCCAGCCCCATCTGTTGCTGTGGGTAAAGGAATTCATGTTGGATGGTTACTGCTCTTGCCCATTCCCTGCCTCTTCAGCTGGCAGGGAAAAGCAGGGAGAGCACAACTACTTGTGCATGGAGAGGTGGAAGAGTTGTTGGGAAAGTGGGAAATGCGTTGGTGGGATGCAGCCGTAAGCTGAGGGATGATGGGAATCAAGGTCTGAGCTTGGCTGGGAGGTGCTGTGGTGGCCAGAGGCAGCATGAATGAGCATGACGGAAAGGGCATCCCTAAATCCTGGGCAGGGATACTGATATTCCGGGTATAAATGCTTCATGTGGGTGGGTTATTCAGGGCAGGGCTAGAAGAAGTCACCAGATGGCCAGAGGAGTGAGCAGTTTGAAGCTGCAGTGTACTGAGTGCTCTGATTGTAATGTGCTGAGGAAGTGTGAATCCAACTGGTGATGGAATTTCACATTTGCTTTGTTTGTGGAATAGAGCATTCCCTCCATGCACTGGGAGTGTGTCAGCCTGTTAACCATGGAACCTCCTGGATAGCGTGGAAGGTTTGAAATGGGTGGGAAGGCTCAGTCCCATGGCTGTGGGTGGTGGTTCAAGAGTGGTCCCTCCTCTGGTTTGAGGTGATCTGCGCAGCAGGTAAGTGATGGGGTGACCACATCTGACCAGGGAATAGGTTTGAGTACTGTTACTGCAGCAGGGAGTGCTGTGATACTCGGTGGTCTGTCACAAATCCAACACTTGTATTACTTTGAAGGTTCAGATGAGTTTAAATGTGGTGTTGCTCCCCCTGCCCTCTTTTACCCAGAGCACTAAATGAGATACATCACATATGAGTTTGATTGGGTTTTGTCCTGTGCATGAGGTGTGGCAGATGATGTTCCCTCCAAAATGCTATTGGAAATCCTGAGTATGTTGTAAGCAACAAATGGGAACACTTTGATTTTTGACTCTGAGCACAACAGTGTGTTGCCAGATCAGTACAAAGAGCTTTTATCACTTTGGAGATGCAGCTTTGGATCAGTGTGGTCACTGCAGGTCAGGAATGGGGCACTCCAGCAGCAGTGCATGAACATGATGACTGGGAGGTTGGTGGGGTTAGAATATGGGAAGTGCTGTGATTTTGAGCTGGGATGCATCAGTTGGGAGAATCATGGAATCACAGAATGGTTTGGGTTGGAAATGACCTTAAGATCATCCAGTTCCAACCCCCTGCTATGGGCAGGGACACCCTCCACTAGACCAGGTTGTTCCAAGCCCCATCCACCCTGACAGGACTTCATACTGGTGAGATGGTGTCTTGGGGCAGAGGGGTACAGGCCAATGTGTGGTGTCCCCTGCTCTGGTAGCACAGGAGGGTACAGTTAAGACATGTGACAGGGGTTAGGGCACAGCAAAGAGGGACAGGACTGACCACTGCAGGCAGTGGGCAGACCACATAGACACAGTCATAGAAACCAAAGGCTGACCAAACCAAACAGGGTTCACGGTTGAAGCATGTTGTACAACATAGGAAAGGACTGAGGCAGTCTGATGCAGTGGACTTGGACTGGAGCAGACTGGTGTGTGTACAGCAGAGCTGGAATGGTGTGGGAGAGCTGTGCTGGGAGGAGGCGGCTGGGGAGCCCTGTGGAGTCTCGTGACTTACACCACTGCTGTTGCTGTTCTTAAAGGGTTTCTGAAGCTTTAAAAATAGGAGCACAAACAAAATGTGGGGAAGAACAGCCAGCTCCTCAGTCTCTGACCTTTTAATTGTTAGTGGCCCATCAGTGTGAGCACAAAGACGTGGAGCTGGCAGGGTGCTTCTGATGATGGAGCGAGAGATCTCCTAGGAGCTTGCTCCCTCAGCTCTAAGTGCTTGCTGTTGAGAGCAGGTCAATAGCTTCCCCAGACACTGCTGCTAACTGCTAATGGGTATTTTGGCTTGCTGAGGGAGGAAGAGAAGTATTGGACAACAAGACAAGAGCCTGGCAGCAGGGGTGCCTCTGGAAGAACATGGGAACAGGGCTTTCTTCAGAGCTGAGGCCAGTATAACCTGCCCAAAGCACCCCACAGCGACTGCTGCCCAGCACACAACACTAACAGGATTTCAGGTAATCTTATGAACTGGAGCTGGGGGAGTGGTGATTATGTACAGTAACTTACACACTGGCTTCACCTAATACTTCCCACTTTTCCAACTCCACTCTCCTGTACATCTCCTTCCCGAGCGTGCCATGCCCCCTGGTGCTGGAAGGAAGAACCTCTGCCATCTTTGGTGGAAAACGGCTCAGGTGCCACCCTTCTGCTGGTGTGGGGTTCTCTTGAGGACGATCAGCAGCATGTTTTGGCTCTGTTCTCTTCCAGGAGGTGAGTGTTGTGCCTGCTGAACCCCCTCAGACCCACTAGCCATGCCAGGGATTGTCGTGTTCCGCCGCCGCTGGTCTGTAGGCAGCGATGACCTGGTTTTGCCAGCAGTCTTCCTCTTCCTCCTGCACACCACCTGGTAAGTGAGAAGGGCAGGAGTCTCCCATCAGTTCTTATCGTTATTCCTGTTCCTTGCAGCTGTAATTCTTCCCGTGCTTATCTGTGTGGCTGGAAGGCTTGTTTGGGGCATTTCTCATAGACACCGACGTATTCCCAGCTTCTTTGGATAAGTTCTATTCTAAGCTCTAGTTCCAAAGAGGGAGCCTGACCAGCTCCTTTCATCCTCCTGCGCTACCCAAGGTTGTCCAGTGGAGTTTGGGGCTGTGTTTCTTCCAGGGGCTCAGGTTAAACAATTGGAGTGGCAGATCCCAGTGGGATAATGGGACTTGACACAGGGCGTCAAATTGGACTCTGGATGGCTTGTGAGGAGGAGATTTCCAGACCAAATTAGAGTAGCTGTGGGTGACTGAGGAGCCTCAGAAGCTTGGTGTGGGTTATTACATGCAGCTTTCTTTAGCTTCCTGCTGATAACAAGCTGGTTTGTGACTGGCAGGTTTGTGATCCTCTCTGTGGTGCTCTTTGGGCTGGTGTACAACCCCAACGAGGCCTGCTCGCTCAACCTGGTGGACCACGGCAGAGGCTACCTGGGCATCCTGCTCAGCTGCATGATCGCAGAGGTGGCAATCATCTGGCTCAGCATGAGAGGCAGTATCCTGTACACAGAGCCCCGGGACTCCATGCAGTATGTGCTCTATGTCAGACTGGGTAAGAGGCAGAGGCCTGAGGCCTCCTAATGACTCAGCCTCCACACTGCCATCTGCTAGCGCAGAAGACTTCTCTCCCCACACCCTGACAAACACACAGCTTCTGAAAGACATCCAGATGGCCACTTGTATGTGCTATGCATCTGAATACATCACATAGACAGCACCCTGTCATTGCTGTAAGACTCTCATGCAATGCCCCAAATATCTTTCTAGCAAACCTTTTAACTTGCCATGCTCATTGCAATGCAGGTGCATCCTTTCCCTGAAAGCAAATGTGCTCCCCTTCTGTCTCACAACGCAGATCTGCCACAGTGAGATGCATCTACACCTCTTCCCCATCTTTTTTCCACATGTTTTCCTAGGATGCAGGCATGAATCTGTGTAAATCACGGTGGGTCTGACCCCGAGGCATGTGTGTGTCCTTGCCTGTCATACAAGACACATCTACACCCACCTGCCTTGAGACGTATACTGGACCTCTTGACTCACAGGAGATGCATCTCCATCCAGTGCCTTAAATCCTCCCCCTCCAGGCACAGTGAGATAAATAGGTTTACCACCTGCTCACTGGTTGCATCCTCTCTCTGAGTGCGTATTTGTCTTCCTAAAAACGTTTCCTGTCTCTCTCACCCACCAAAAAATAGATCAGAAAAGAGAGATTGTTCCTTGATCTCTTACTCAAGGCTTCCCTTTTAGCTTGTTTTCCCTCCTCTGCTCTGTTGTCTTCCAGGTACAGAAACTTGAGCAGATTTTTTCTGTGCTGTGTGAAGATTTTAAGAGGAAACAAACCCTTTTGGAGCTGCAGAGTCAACCCCATTCCAAACAAAACACCTCAGGGTTTTGCATCTCTGTTTTTGCTGGATCTTTTCCCTGCAGAAGTCACTAAAAGAGGGCTAGCCTTGCTTGAAAGCTCTGTCTGGGAGACATTTCCACCTTTTGAGTGCTAAGTGCAAGTCATTAACACAAAGAGCAAACAAATCCTTCTCTTTGCTTTCCCAGACACACTGCAGTCTCCCTAGGGAAGCACGTGGAGCCTGACACTGAGTTGCACTGTGTTAAAACCAGACTAAATGGGGCAAGGGAGATGGAGAAAGATCCAAAAAGCCGTTTTCCTGCCCAAGAAACACCCACTTTTCTTCCTTGTCTGCCATAAACTGTACATGGATCAGTATTTACACTGTATTTTGGGTCTTGTTTGTGGTTGTTTCCTGGGGCTTTTTACTCTTAATGGCTTCATGAGTTCTGATGATAGATTAAGGAGTGTGACCAGCATGTGGGCAAGGTCCATGTGACCGTCCCAGTTGAAGCATGTGCTGTTTATTACATAGGAATCTGGGAAAGAGCTCCAATATGAAACCAGGAAAGTCTCATGCATGCTCCTGTCCTGCAGCAGGCCATCTCGGAGGGCAGACAAGCCATGGTAGGCAAAGCCTTAGCTAAGATTAAGCACACAGTTTGTGCTGAGCAGCAACCAGGTCCAGCCCTGGTTCCTTGCCCACTGCTGTTGTAAAGTCTTTGTGTCTCTTTGAACTGGTTTTTCCAGGCTGGTGAGAGCCTGTAGTAAGCCACTTGTGGAAAGACACCAAGCCAACACACAGATAAGGAGGGTGGGTGGTTACTTAGCTAGGCTGGAATGTGGGCTTAGTCCCAGCTCCACCAAAGCCTTGCTAGGCATTACTAAGCAAGCTATTTACTCTCTCCATATCTCATTGCTCACCTGCAGTTTGGGCTTGTAATGTGGAGAGAAAGTGTGGGGATGGGCACTTCAGAGTAGTGTTTCCCAACTTTTTTGATCTAGGGAACCATCCTGAATCCACAGTTCCTTGTTTATTCATAGGCTGGTTTGAACTGGAAGGGACCTTAAAGCTTACCCAGTTCCAATCCCCTGCATGGACAGGGACACCTTCCACTAGGCCAGGTTGCTCAGAGGGTAACATGCAAAACTGAGGAGTAAATGACTCCTTAAGGGTTGTGTCCTGGGAACTGTTACTGGAAAGACTGCAAAGGGCAGAGGTGCTGGGAACATTTACTAAGTGTAGAAAGCAGAATTAATCCAGGATACTCACTACTATTCATTTCCCATCTTTGAATCAGACCATCTGGCCAAGGTGGTTAAGTCCTGGGTGCTGCTACACGGTGATTACTCTGTACTCTTGTGATCCTTATATCATTCAGGAGTAGTTTTAAGGCCCTATTACACTTTTGGTTCATATCTTTGGAATATCACCTTCCAAAGCGTGGGGCCCGATCCTGCAGTCACTAATTCTGTGCAGCCATCCTGCTAAAGAGCCCCTCTTTGTGTTTCCTCTCCAGAAGCTGCAGAGAAGCAGTGGTTAATCCTTAGGGAGATGCTGCTACTCTCTATTGTGTTCCTTTTGTTGCAGCTATCCTGCTGATCGAGTTTGTGTATGCTATCGTGGGCATCGTTTGGCTAACGCAGTACTACACTTCCTGCAATGATATCACAGCAAAGAGTGTCACTTTGGGTATGTATTTGGAATGTGGTTTGGGTGCATCCCTGTGGATGAGCAGACATCCTCTCGCCTCAGAGAGCTAATTCATTCCTGCATGTGGGGATTGACTGTTGCAAGTGGATTGTGGCTGTAAATGTGGCGCTTGTTTTCCTGAGACATTAGTGCTCAGAACAGTTGTTCTATTCATTTGTTTGTGCTGTCTGTGCTGAGGCAAGAATCCATGTTCCCCTGGAAGGGTCTGGCTGGGGAGTCTGGAAGGCCTGGTTCTCCTTCAGTTCCAAATGGCTTTGCTGTTTTCCTGGAACTCCTTTTCAGTCTCAGGCAGTCCCTTGGCAGGGGTGATACTAGCTTGCAGTCCCTCTAGCTACTCAGTGAGTACTTAATGGTCTTCTACATGGGCAATATCCTAAACCAGCTGGAAACTTGAAGCTTTTCCAGAGGATTTCTCTTGCTGCAGCTGGGGTGACATTGGGGTGACTTTCTCTGCCCTGCAGCAATGGAGAGATGGGTCTGATGTGCGTGATGAACAGCAGGAAGTGTTGCTGCCATGACTTGGGGGCAGAGCACCTGATTCCTCTTCTTTCCTTGCAGGAATGGTGGTGTGCAACTGGGTTGTCATCCTGAGTGTCTGCATCACTGTCCTGTGCGTCTTCGACCCCACGGGCCGGACCTTTGTCAAACTACGCGCCACGAAGCGGAGACAGCGCAACCTGAGGACGTACAACTTGAGGTAAAGCAGCATTCCCGGAAGGATATCCTTCTTTTCTCCATGCTTAACATCCCTTCTTCAGGGAAGCATCCAGCTTCAGGCATTGCTTCCCTTTGGTGAGGGAAAGATGCAGCTCAGACTGTCAGGTGCTGTGTGTGGGCATCTACATCCAAAGGAGGCTAAGTGATGCGGTAGCTGCCTGCATTGTGTGTTAGTCACTGCATCTGTGAAGCCTTAGGAGCCTCTTGAGCCAGTGCTGACCACAACAGCTTCTTTTATCCATCCTGTAGCAGCCTTTTGCCCGGTAACAGTGAGACAGTGCTCAGATACTGCTTAGATTGAGAGAGCATCTTCTTCCAAAGCCCCTTTCATCCTTTAGTGTTGCCTTCAGAATACAACCTCTTGCCCTGAGGTTTCTTGTCTGTGCTTGTGGCCAAGAAGCAATTTCTTTTATGTTGGCAGGCAGATCTTTTAATTAAGAATTGATTACATCTTGGAGCTGCCCAGATGGGGATAGGAAAGCTTTATTTCACCAAGCAAAGCATTTTTCAGGAGGGGGACAACACAAACAGCCTTTGTTTTCTTATGCACTCTTGACATATGCAACTGTCAGCAAGGAATGTGGCTTTGTAGGACTCGAGGGCACTGGGTTTTGAACCTAGAAACTGGGGCTTTGAAAGAATACTCTGCAAATCTTGCATTTCTCGTGAGGGATGTATATCCAAGAGGGCATTTTGAATATGTGCTCTTCCACTGGCTTGAAATGGGATCCTTCAAGTTGTCTTTTTGAGGGAGGAAAAGCCTTTTCCAAGGATTGTGCAAGCAAGTTTTGTTTGAAGGAGCCTGGATTTCATTGTGGAATGCAAGACATTCTTCCTGACCTCTCCAATACGTGACACTAGACTTGGTTATTTGGAGTTAGTTCCCTGTTAGCCTAATGTGTGTGACTGCTGCAGTGTGATCAGGACATTCCCAGGGGGATTGGGGTAAGAAACTCTGATGATACCATGGATCTGGTATCCCTCAAACCTGTGTGGCTCAGGGTGTTATTTTGTCAAAGGGAAACTGAGTGCCAATGAAGGTTTTTTGGCCCTCTCACTCCAAGAGAGACCTTGAGGGGCTGGAGCGGGGCCAGAGCAGGGCAATGGAGCTGGTGCAGGGCCTGGAGCCCAAGTGTGATGGGGAAGGGCTGAGGGAGCTGGGGGGTTCAGATGGAGAAGAGAAGGCTCAGGGGGGACCTGATGGCTGCCTCCAACTGCCTGACAGGAGGATGGAGCCAGGAGGGGCTGGGCTCTGCTCCCAAGGAACAAGGGATGGGACAAGAGGAACCGGCCTCAAGCTGCACCAGGGCAGGGTTAGATGGAGCTGAGGAACAATTCCTGCCCCAGAGGGTGTTCAGGCATTGGAACAGGCTGCCCAGGCAACCGTCCCTGCAAGTGTTCACACACCATGGAGACAAGGCCTCAGTGCCATGGGTCAGTGGTGGCCTTGCAGGGCTGGGAAACAGTTGGACTTGGTGTCCTTCAAGGTCTTTTCCAACCTGGTTGATTCTGTGTTCTATAAGTGAAGGTATTTGTCCCTTGGGCCGTGGCCAGGTTTTCCCTTCAGGCCTGTACCAGTTTTGGACAGCTTGTGCCTGATGTTTGCATCTTCCCACTCTGCAAAAGGGAGCCTGAACAGATGTGAACAAGGAAAACGCTGTGGGCTCTGATGTGAAAGGCAAACAGAAGATGTTACTACTAAAGCAATTGTTCCCAAAGAGCACATTGTGAAATTCTCTGCCTGTTTGTGGATCATGATCCAGAAAAGATGTTGAGGGCCAGGAATTGGTACTGAAACTCCTTAGGTTGCATCAGTACACGTCTCTGCTGTACAGCAGGAACTTGACCTTTGCATTATGTTTATCCTGAGCTGTATTTCCTCTGTCTTGACTCATGAATAAGCGTGATTTGTTGCATTAGGAAGATATCTAACTTCTGCCTTCCCTTTGGTGGTGCTTTGATGTAGGTGTTGGACTCTTACACAGAGGTTTTCCTTCACCAGTGGCATCGTGATGTGTGTGGGCACTTCTGTTCTTGCAGAGCTAAGAAAATAAAGCAACAAAACAAAAGGCTCAGCTGATTGTGCTGAGGCTTTGCTTGCTTCAGAGCCCACTAAACATGTGGAAGTTCTGTTAGGAAGAAAGAATTTGGGAAAAGTTGGAGTGAAAATAGCTCAGAGCACACTTGGCTTCTTCAGCCCCCGCGGTGAAGTTGTGAAGTTCTTTGCATTGCTGCCCAAGTACTTTGGCATTTGGTGGAGCAGAGTACTGCCAGCTCTGCCTTGGGATGATCGTATTCCTGTTTGTCTTCTAGAGTCTTCCTTGGACACTGTGGATGGTTGAACATTCCCAGGGGCTGGAGCAGCTCTGCTCTGGAGCCAGGCTGAGAGAGCTGGGCTGGGGCAGCCTGGAGAAGAGAAGGCTCCTGAAGGGGAGAGCTTAGAGCAGCTCCAGTGCCTAAAGGGGCTGCAGGAAAGCTGGAGAGGGGCTTGGGACAAGGGCCTGTAGGGACAGGCCAAGGGGAATGGCTTGAACCTGCCTGAGGGGAGACTGAGCTGAGCTCTTAGGCAGAAGCTCTTCCCTGTGAGGGTGCTGAGGCGCTGGCACAGGGTGCCCAGAGAAGCTATGGCTGCCCCATCCCTGGCAGTGCTCAAGGACACAGGGGCTTGGAGCAAGCTGCTCCAGTGGAAGGGGTTGGGGTTGGGACTGGATGAGCTTTAAGCTCCCTTCCAACCCAACCCAAACTGGGATTGTATGATAGTTGTTGTATCATAGTTGTTTTCAAATGCTCAGCTGTGAGCTGATGGATTGCCCTGTGGGATCAGCTCCTCCTATGCAGGCAAATACTCCTTTATCAGCATCTTTTTCTTCCAGGTACAACCCACTTCCTGTGCTTGGGCTTTTGCTCATGTGAGAGCCTGCCAGAAAAACAGAAGTGGTCTTTTCTCTTGATTGCTCTGACCTGTTTTGGCTTTGTCTGTGTCCACGTTAAAGACCCTGCTTCGGGGGAGCAGTGGCCTTTGTTGATAGCATTGCACTCTGGCACAGACTCGCACAGACACCCACTCCAACACCACTAAGCTCAGGGCTGTTAGCAGGTATGCCAGTCAAAAAGGAGGGACTGTCACCCCGCAGAGTGTAGTAACTGGGACAAGCTGACAACAGCGGAGGCAACTCCGCTCTGCTTCATTGAAACAGGGTTGTCCAATTAGCTCGTTTTGAAGCTGGAATTGAAATGTCACAGAAACCAAATGTGGGTTGAGCTAAACCTGCTCTATTCAGCCTATTTTAGCCTTGTCTAAATGGAAGGAGACCCTTGAGCTAACTTCCCCTTTCTTTCTGCTGGAAACTAAGCACTATACTTGAATACAGAGTGTAAATTTCTTCAGTTCTGAGCCTGTATTATGTTTTATAAATATATTTCTCCCAAATAAGCAATTTATTGGGGAGAAAAATGGCCCAGCTCCTCTCATACTATGTGCCCAGGGTCTTTTGTATTGTTTGCACCCCCTTGCACTGAGGTAGAGTTTTCCTCCTGAGGGGTGGGATGGGCTGGCACTTGGTGCAGCTGCCAAATTGCCAGTGGATCCTCCTTCCATCCACAGCGCTGGGTGCTCTTGACCATCTTGCTTCCAGCAGATGTATAGAACAACAGGAGGTTCATTATGCCCAATTCGTTCAGGTGGGACACCATGTATGTAAATACAGAGGACAGATCTTTTTGACCTTCCCATCACAGACTATTTTGTGTTGGAAAGGACCTTAAAGCTCATCCAGCTCCAACCCCTGCCACAGGCAGGGACCCCTTCCACTGGAGCAGCTTGCTCCAAGCCCCTGTGTCCAACCTGGCCTTGAGCACTGCCAGGGCTGGGGCAGCCACAGCTTCTCTGGGCACCCTGTGCCAGCGCCTCAGCACCCTCACAGGGAAGAGCTTCTTCCTTATCTCCAACCTGAACTTCCCCTGTTTCAGTTTGAACCCATCATCCCTTGTCCTATTACTCCAGTCCCTAATGAAGTCCCTCTCCAGCATCCTTGTAGCCTCCTTGGGATACTGGAAGCTGCTCTGAAGTCCCCATGCAACTTCTCTTCTCCAGGCTGAACAAGCCCAACTTCCTTAGCCTATAAAAGGAGATGAGTTGTTGATCTTTTTGTGCTCTCCTTCCCTCTGCTACACCAGGATTCATAGAAGAATATGGTTTAGCATGTGTTTTAGCAGTGGTAGTACAGACTGGGTGACTTTGGATCTTACTGTGTGTTTGCAGACATGTTCTCCTGCCTGTCCTCATGCTCATACTCTACCCTTCATTCACAGACACCGCCTGGAAGAAGGACAAGCCAGCAGCTGGACTCGCAGGCTCAAGGTTTTCCTTTGCTGCACAAGGACAAAAGACTCTCAGTCGGTAGGTACCAAATAGCTCTTGTCCGAGCAGGAGATAGCATCCTACCTGCATGAGGTGTGTCTCATTACAGTGATATATGAGGGCACTAGGAGCCCAGGGAGCCTTGTCTACATGCAGGGACTGGAAATCCCTTCCAAGCATTCCCTCAGGATCACTAGGCTTGGAGCTTTGCTGCATGCTGATTCCTTTTCCATCCTTACTGCCCAAGTAGCCTGAAGGAGCCCTTGCATTTCTGCAGGGGGGACCTGGTATTCCATGCAGAAGCTGATGTAACAACAAATGCAGATGTAATGACACTGAGTAGGACAGCTATTAGAATGACTAGTCTTAACCCTCTGGTTTTGAGTATTAGAGAACTCTGAAGGTAAAGCCAGCACTGAAAAGCAATGTGAGTGCTAAACTCTTCTCCTGTATTTGATCTATACCTCACTGTTGCAGTGAACTGGGATAATAATGTATAAGTGAAGACAGCAGTGGAAGAAATACCTGTTTTCACTATGTTTGGGCTCAACATTTGACTATGTGATCCGTTTCAGTTTGCTCAGGCAGTTTCTCCTGGTGTTTGCATCAGTCTCATACACTTGAGGAGACAGACCTCTCTGAAAACAGGAAAATGTAAACCTGTCGAGCAGCTGAAGACTACTTCTGGATTTCCTAACAGTCAAACCCCACTACTTAATCCCTAGATTCACATGGAGATCATTGGTTTGAAGTTTTCATGTGCTGCAGTTGGGATTTTCCCTTCTTGTGCAGCAGGGAAGGATAAGGACTTGCTATTACTTCCCCAGAAGTTAGCAGTCTATTCCTATTGGAACCAGTAAGATCAGGTTTATGTCACGGGGTTGTGTTCAACAGGATTCCTGAGGACCTGCTGGGGATGTGAGCAAGAACATGGAAAACTTTGCTTATTAAGACTCCTAATACTTAAATGGGTCAGAATTAGGAGTGTTTGGGAACTCCTGGAAGACCAGACAGAACCAGGGTGTTGTTATCAGAGATAGTTGTAAAGAAAGACCAAGTGGTGAATGCACGTGTACTCTGGCTCTTAGTTCCAGCCTCTCAGGAGAAGAGCTTGGAGTTATCAAGGACACTTTGTCAAAGACATCAATGCACAGCAGTGGCCAAAATATCACAAGAACATTTAGCATCAGTAGAAGGGCATAGGAAATGACAGGGAAACCACCAAGGGACCGACCACATCAGTGATGTCCTCAGTAAATATAGCCTGGGGTTGGGTCTCCTCAGAGGTGCAGCAGAGAAAGGAGCATATTGGAGGGGATATGTACTTGGAAGAGAAATGGAATTGGGATTTTAACCTCAAAGAGGAAGATGGAATAAGATGAAGAGCTGTATAATAGAGTCAGGTGAAGGCTACCTGAACATTTGTTCATCACAGATGGCAACCAGTATGAATTAGATTAAAAGAGTGTGTGAGGAAGTGCCGTGGAGTTACCCACAGGCTGCATTCCCAAAGTGTGGCTGGCTGCAGGAACTGTCATAACCCTCATGCAGAAATCCAGCAGTGTGTCCTGGCACATGGATCCTCCCAGCGGCACTGGATGCAATGCCACCATGTTCCCAACCTGCTGTCCCACTGGGAAGTCAAGAGGCCAGTCCTGGCAGCGCTCACAGCTCATCTGCTGGTGCTGCTTGGGGAAAATCCATCTGGAAAACTGAAGCAAAATGAGCTTTTGTGTCAGGGCAGCTCCAACAGCAGCATTTCCTTGGGGGTTCTTTGCTGCTCCTCCCGTGCTACCATAGCACAGGCACCTTCCATTCCCCCCTGAGAGCACAACCAGGTCACCTCACGCAGGTACCCAGAGGTGTGTGTCCCAGGGATGCTGCAGTCTGGCTCCAGAGCTGTGAATGTCCTGGTTTCTGAACAACTCTGTTTTATTCAGGAATGTGAAATATTTCCCTGTATCGAGCTGTTTTAAACAAGCTTCTCATTCTGCAGTGACTGTTTCTACTTTAGATGTTTTTCTCTAGTTCAGGGTAAGAGCAGATACCACAATCTTCAAATTCTTTGTGCTATTGAGTTCCCATTTTGCATTCAGCTTGAGCAATTCCCAGGCTCTTTTCTTTACAGAAACAAGCTCTGACTTTGTGTGTCCTGGCATGACAGCGTGTGGAATGAATGCATGTGTAATGGATGAGAAATGAATCCGTTGCTGTCTCTCCCAGTCTTCATGGAAAAAAATGTTCTAACACAGAATCATCATCATCCTCTGGGCTGGAAAATAGTTCTGTGGGGTGGACATGGTGGTTGAGACATGAACGTGGGGCTGGAGTGAAGTGTGAGGTCTCCAGCCCTGGAGCAAATCGTCAGGGCTACAATCAATCCTACAATAGAATATGAGATGCTTCAGCAAAAACTCATCCTTTGGAAGCAATCATAGGATCATAAAATGGTTTGGGTTGAAAACAACATTAAAGTCATCCAGTTCCAACCCCTGCCACAGGCAGGGACACCTTCCACTAGAGCAGCTTGTTCCAAGCCCCTGTGTCCAACCTGGCCTTGAGCACTGCCAGGGATGGGGCAGCCACAGCTTCTCTGAGCACCCTGTGCCAGCGCCTCAGCACCCTCACAGGGAAGAGCTTCTGCCTTATATCTAGCCTGAACTTCCCCTGTTTCAGCTGGGACCCATCACCCCTTGTCCTATCACTGCAGTCACTGATGCAGAGTCCCTCTCCAGCATCCTTGTAGCCCCCTTCAGACACTGGAAGCTTCTCTGAGGTCTCCATGCAGCTTCTCTTCTTCAGGCTGAACAGCCCCAGTGTTCCCAGCCTGGCTCCATACGGGAGCTGCTCCAGCCCCTGCTCATCCTCGTGGCCTCCTCTGGACTTGCTCCATCAACTCCGTGGTCTTCTGATGCTGAGGACACCAGAACTTCACACAGGGCTCCAAGTGGGGTCTCATGAGAGCAGAACAGAGAGGGTGTTGCTGCCCCTTTGGGTTAGTAAGTGGTTTTACTTTGAGGCTGCGTTTCATGTGTGCTTATAGGAGCTCTGCTAAGCTTTATGGGGTCAGTACTTGAAGGCTGCTGCAGTTGTAATGTCACAGAGGTTACTGCCAGTCCATTTGCTCTTCAAAAGGCACAGCTGGTGTGGAAACCTGCACAATAGGCACCTGAAGCCCTGTTCTTAATGGTGATTTAACTTGCTTTTGTAGGCGAAAGTGAAAAATGAAAGAAAGTAATCTGGCACTCCAGGAGTTTATCAGAGATGAAAGAATATAGGTCATTCCCTGCAGGACTGCTTGGGAGAGAAGGGATTTACTTTCTTCCCAGTCAAAGAAGAGACAGAGAGAGATCCTGGCCTGAAATTGAGCCTTTCTGTTAGTGCACAGCTCAGGCTTTCTACAGACAAGACTGCAGTTGGTGCTGAGTAAAGGATGCTCTGAAAACACAAGCTAAAAGTTCAGGGGAAGGCTGTGACAGACCTTGATAGGAAAGGTTACTGATGGCAGGAGTCAAAATACCAGCACCATTGGTGTAGTACAGCACTTGTTCAGGGATCCAGCTTCAGGGTCACCCTTGCCTTTGAGCCTGCTGGTCTTAGAGATGGCCACATCAACATTGCCTCTCCAGCTCCCAAGCCATTCTCACTTAGCATCTTTTGTCTTTATAGTACATAGAAAAAGGGAAAATAACATTTTTTTTCCTCATAACACCTTTGTCACTCTGCTTTAGAAACCTTTGCTTGACCCTCTCAGGTCACTTTCACTTGCATCGCTCCTGTGGTGTCTTCCTTTTTTGGCCACCTTCTCTTCTGGGGACTCTGCATTTAATGACTCCCATCTTTATCCAGGTTTTCCCTTTCAGGCCCTCTTGCTTGCATGCAGTCCAAGACAAACCTGGAAAAGCCTCATAACTTGGTCTGCTCCTTCAGCACCAAGGGCTGCCATCTGTAACGCTTGTTGCAATGAACTCTTTGAAATCACATAGCAAAGAGGATGATGGTGAGCAATGAGCAGCTACGAATCCCATAGCAAAGAGGATGATGGTGAGCAATGAACAGCTACAGAGTGGCAGGATTCAAAAGCTGTCACCTTTATCTGCTTGCAGTGGTTAAATAATGGACAAAATCAGTGGGGTTTTCATCCTGAGGAGGCTTTGCTCAAATAAAATTGCTCCTGAGGGGCAAGGATGACTCTGAGATGATGCTGGGTTGGGATTTGCTTGGTTCTCATACTTCCTCTGTCTTAATTTACAGCGTAGAGATGAGACTGTTTCTCTCCCTTTCTGCCTGCTCTGTTTTGATGGTGAGGTGCTCTGCTTGCCCACACATCAGCACCAAGTGTAGTACAAACTCAGCCTCAGCTGAAGCCTCTCAGTGTGACTATGTAAAAATAAACAGGATCCTCATCTGATCAGGCCAGATATGGTGTTCCCTAAAGGAATCTCGTGGATGTTTTGGTGCGTGAGCTATAGAAATGAGGCCATTGCTGCCGCAATGGTTCTCATTCCGTGGCCTGTTTCGAAGCTTTTCATACCCAAACTCCTCCTTCTTCTCCTAAACTCTTCTCTCCTTGGGTTTTGCAGGATGCCTATTCAGAAATTGCCTACCTTTTTGCTGAGTTCTTCCGAGACCTTGACATCGTCCCATCGGACATCATTGCAGGCCTGGTTCTTCTGCGCCAACGGCAGCGGGCAAAGCGCAACGCTGTGCTGGATGAGGTGGGTGGAGAGGGCATCCCTCTTGGCCTCTGACTTAACCTGCTGCTCTTGACTCACTCTCTTGAGACCGCATGACTCTGCCCACCTCCTTCCTGGTGCGTGTGATGGGCTATTGCTAGTCACTGAGCTGGAAAATAAAGGTATTAACTGCTTGAACAGCTCTTCCCAAGGCTCCCAAAAGGCCTAGCTGACACTGAGTCAAGCTTGGGAAATCCATCATCGTTTCTAGGCAGGTGATACAGATTGAGTCTGTAGTCTAACCCCAAGAGGGCCTGAAGGAGGTGGTAGGCGCTTGGAAGTGAATGGGATGATTACTCCTCCTCTACACAGTAATGTGGAGAACATTCCAGCATCTGGGAAAAGCTGCAGGAGGAACTTTAAGGGCAAAATTCCTAAATTCCAAGCCATTATTGGCATTGAGATTCATGGATCGTCAACCCAGTAGAAAATGGGGTTAGGTTTTCTCAGAGGTGGGGTTCAGACAGCAATGAGCAAGAGCAGCAGAATTAGGGTTAGTTAGAGGAGACCGGTTGGGATACTCGAGAGCATCTTATCCCAGGTTGCACAATACTCTCTGTTTCTCAGGTGTAGCTTTGTCTTGGTGTCACAGGGAAGAATCTTTCTTGTGTGTTTCTGACTTACAGGCAAACAATGACATTTTAGCCTTCCTGTCTGGGATGCCAGTGACCAGGAACACGAAGTACCTGGATCTGAAAAACGCGGTAAGTGGCTGTATTGTGAACTTGCAAACCCATCTTGCTTCCCTGTGTTGCCTGTTTTCTCTTTCTCAGTGGCTTCTCTCACTCCTTTCTGCCCCTTTCTGGAATAATCAAAGAAATGAAAGATTAGTACAGCAGAAACAGACTGGTTTGGGTTGGACGGGACCTTAAAGCTCATCCAGTTCAATCCCTGCCATGGGGAGGGACACCTTCCACTAGAGTAGGATGCTCTAAGCCCCATCCAACGTAATAACAACACTTGCTCTGTGGAGGCTTTTAAAGCATGACCTGTGTAAGGCGTTCTCTCTGCCTTCTGTGTGGTGAGAGGTGGTAGGATTCCCACTTAGATGGGGAAAGGCAGCATGAGGGTTGTCCCAACGCCAGAGGTATGAGCTGAGTGCTGCTCCCAGGAGCATCGTGCAGAGCTCCATATGGAAGTACCACCAGGCAGGGCTCCATCTTGGAAAGGGCAGGGAGCTGCCTGGAGTGAGGGTGGAGCCTTCCTCCCTGGGGCTGCTTGTCAGCAGCTCTCAGGATGGGAATGCCAGCTCTCTGTTCTGTGTGGATTGAGCTTGCTTTTCTTCTGGCACGCTGCTATTGCAGCCCTTCGTGGGGCACACTGTATTCACCCCCTTGATCTGATGATATGGCTGCAAGAGTGACCCAATCCCAGCATCTCTGATCAAGTGCTTCTGTGATTAACCTGCTTGTGGCTCTGCTGTGTTTAACACTCACACCCTGCTTGTGCTCAGCCTGTCTCTCCTGAATAGGAGAGTGTGGGGAGAGAGGGAAGCAGAGCTTATAGGAGACCCTGCTGAGATATGAGCCCCCAGACTGGCTTTATGGCCCTCTCTGTGCATCCTATGGCCTGTGACTACGTGGAAGGAGTATATTTAAAGAGATCAACTTCCTGCAACTTGACAGAATCCCAGACTGGTTTGGGCTGGAAGGGACCTTAAAGCTCAACCAGTTCCAACCCTCTACCATGGGCAGGAACACCTTCCACTAGAGCAGCTTGCTCCAAGCCCAGTCCTCTGCTCCAGACCTCTGATTAAACTAGCTTGTCTCCTCAGCTAAGAGGAGAACCCCCAGGGGATGGCTGGTGATGGATACACAAAGGAAGATTTCTCTAGAACTAACTTCTGCTTTTGTTAAAGAGCTGTGGGGGCCCTTCCATGCAGGAGAACAGGAGTAGATGCACTGTGCTGTCCTTGGGAGGGGTTGCCTCTCACCCAGCACCACCAGCTTGTGCAGCCACCTGCAAACGCTGACAGTGCTGCTCTGGTGGTGCTGAGAGAGCAGGTTGGTGCTCAGAAAGAAGGGTGCACATGTCTAATCATGATGGAAGAAGGGAACCAGTAGGAGAACCTCACTGTCTAAAAGGGAATACAGCCTTTAGCAAGTCTCTTGTCTCTTTCAGCAAGAGATGCAGCGGTACAAAGAGGTGTGTTACTACATGCTGTTTGCCCTGGCTGCCTATGGCTGGCCCATATACCTGATGAGGAAGCCCACATGTGGACTCTGTCGCCTGGCCAGATCCTGCTCGTGAGTGGCCATCCTGTCTATCACTCTGCCTTTTCCCCTTTCCCATTCTGTTTTCCCCAGATTTAGATAAGCTTTCCTTCATCAGTTTACTCTCCATCACCCCTCTACTTCTTCCTTTTCTTTTCTCTTCCTTATCATGCTTTTTCTTTCCATCTCCAACCCTGTCCCTTCATACTCCAATGTCTTTCCCCTCAACCTCTTCCTTTACAGTTGCTTATCTGCTTACCTTGTTAAATAAACCAGACTGTCCTACACTCTACCCTCTCTGGTGCACTAAGGATCATGCCAGTCCTGTGCAGTATGAACAGCCAGGGGAGAGAACTCATCTGGCACAAGGCTGCTTTCACATTGAGTCAAAACAGCTGTCTGGGAGCTCAGAAATCAAATGTATCAGCAAGCCTAGATAAGCAGGGAGATGACATTTGGGTCTCTATTAAAGCCTTGGCAAGACTTGGCCAGTCTGTGCTGTGTACTCTGTGACTAATTGTTTTCTTCCTGCCGTGCTCTGTAGTGCTCACCTCATGGTAGCAAGGCTGTAGTTCAGTGCAGGATATATTGGGTTTGAAGGTTTGCTTTCAGCTGCCATAATGCTGGCATCTGCTTCTCTTTGGGGTTGAGCTTTTTGCACTTAAGCAGGTGACTGCTATGCTGAACCTATGAGGAGGAATCTCCTTCCTTTTATTTGGGAAGTGTTTCGTAAGGGAAAGAAGGAGAAATAAATCTGTGCTTCTGTTTTTGGCCTGGGATGATGATTCTAGACCTGTTTTCTGTTTTTGTTATAAATAGACCTTGAGCTCAGTATGATTCTAGACCTGCTCCTTGTTATAAATAGATCTAGAGCTCAGTACATGCTAGCTGCTTGGTGCGTTGAAGCAATGTAGGACTGCACTGTGAGCCATAGTATCCCTTGAGGAGAGATCCCAGCCCCACCATGCATCGAGTCCTGGGGGACCGGTGGCACTGCAGCTCTCTCTGGTGCTCAGAAGGGAAACTACATCTGCTCTCAGTGCCCCTTTTTGATGCTGCAGCATCAGTTGTGTGCTCTTTGATGCAAGAGCTCCTACCCGGGGAGGGCATCACTGCAGGGTCTGTCTTTCCCTTATCTCTAGGAATTGTGCTCTAAAGCCAATCTCTTCCACATTCCTCTTTTCCTCAAAGCTATTGCTCTTCTGCAGATGTTGCTGTCTGTGTCCTTCACGTCCCCGCTATGCACCTAGTGTCACCATTGAGGAGGACAACTGCTGTGGCTGCAATGCCATTGCCATCCGCCGCCACTTCTTGGATGAGAACATGACCTCGGTGGATATTGTCTACACATCGTGCCATGATGCGGTAAGAGCCTGCAACCCTTTGGGCTATGCTCCTAAGGCACTTCCTAATGGGATTTATGGGATTCCAGGTGTAGTGGTACAAAGGAGGAAACTTGAGGTCTTTTTTTTTCTGACCTTAGAGCTTCCCATCCTATCTCTCCACCAAGGAATTCTGTCACTTGGACAGAAATACTTGCTAAAGGCAAAAATCATCACTGAAAGGAGTGCTTACACATAAGGCATAATCTGTCACACCATTGCCTCCTTTTCCCTGGGAGTAATTAAACAGGAATGTCTCACCTGATTGCTAGTGCTGGATATTTTCCAGGTTTATGAAACACCTTTCTATGTGGCTGTGGACCATGAGAAGAAGAAGGTGGTTATTAGTATCCGAGGAACTCTGTCTCCAAAAGTAAGTGCCTCGCATCCCCTTTGCTACCCTGGCAAACGTTCAGGAGGGTCTCAGGCCTTCCTGGCTCATGCTTGATTGACCTGAAGGACAACAATGGCTTTTCTTCCAGGATGCCCTGACAGACCTAACTGGGGATGCAGAGCGCCTTCCAGTTGAGGGTCACCATGGCACATGGCTGGGCCACAAGGTGTGTAAAAGAAGAAAACCCCAAACCAAACAAACAGCCCCACAAAACCCCAAACGAACAAAATCCCAACCCCAAAATAACCAACCCAGCCCCAAACCCTGCACTTTTCTCATGTTTTGACTTGAGAAAACAAGTGGTCTGAATTGCCTGAGGTACTTCTAAGGGAGTTACATGATTGCAGTGAAATGGCTTGGAGCTGTTAATACAAAATCCTTAGTTGTAACTGTTAAAACCACTATGTGTGTAATTAAAACCTCCCATATAATTAGTGAAAACCAAGCAGTAAAAGGCATCTGTGGACATCTAGAGCAGCATTATTGGATTCATTGAGAGGACTTCTTCTTCCAATGACCTTTTCAGAACTTGCAATCAAACCCTGAGGATGTGTTTAGAATTCCCTGGCAATGAGATGGGCACTGAGCCTCATCCAAGGGAACTGGCAGGACTTGTGCCTGTGTAATGAGACTGATGCTATGGGTTTTTGTTAGTGATCAGGTCTGGGCTGATTAAATCCATTGATTCTAGAGCTGATCTTTGCCCCAGTCCAGCAAAATAGTGATGTGCAGACTGAGTTTTAAGATTATCAGGGATTTGGCAGCCTCTCAAGATGCAGGGCCAGATTGGGATGGAAAAATCCCAGCTGGAGGTTGTGTGTGTTGGAGGGAATGTGGAGGTTGCTGGAAATGCTGCTGCTGCTCAAGGAGATGAGACGTTGCTGATCATCTGCTTGGGGTCCCTTTGGGCAGGACATTGATGTTGCAACTCCATGGGAGTGGGGAGGTGGGAGCTTCTGCTTCCTTCATGATGTCCTGCTTGAAAGATGAACCTTTTCTGTGTACTCTGATGCTTGGCTTTGGGAAGTAGAGGGGAGTAGCTGATGGAGAACTACCTACTCAAATGCTCAGTTAGGTAGGGGTCTGATAAAGAAATGCTCACCTAAGAAAGTCTTGTTTGGACTTGTTTGGACTCTGAAGGCTCCACGTCTCCCAGAGTAGGTAGTCTTGAAAAGTGTTGTGTACTTCCATTTGGCTAATGGGCATCTTTTTTTGTTTCATAAAATCCTAGAATCCCAGCCTGGTTTGTGTTGGACGGGAGCTTAAAGCTCATCCAGTCCAACTGCCATGGGCAGGGACACCTTCCACTGGAGCAGCTTGCTCCAAGCCCCTGTGTCCAACCTGGCCTTGAGCACTGCCAGGGATGGGGCAGCCACAGCTTCTCTGGGCACCCTGTGCCAGCGCCTCAGCACCCTCACAGGGAAGAGCTTCTGCCTAAGAGCTCAGCTCAGTCTCCCCTCGGGCAGGTTCAAGCCATTCCCCTTGGTCTGTCCCTACAGGCCCTTGTCCCAAGCCCCTCTCCAGGTTCCCTGCAGCCCCTTTAGGCACTGGAGCTGCTCTAAGGTCTCCCCTTCAGGAGCCTTCTCTTGTCCAGGCTGCCCCAGCCCAGCTCTCTCAGCCTGGCTCCAGAGCAGAGCTGCTCCATGGCCTCACAGCATCTCCACGGCCTCCTCTGGTCTTGCTCCAACAGCTCCACATCCCTCTTGTGCTGCTGCCCCAGAGCTGGATCAGGGCTGCAGGGGGGTGTTCCCAGAGTGCAGCAAAGGGGGAGAATCCCCTCCCTTGACTGCTGCTCATGCTCTGGGGATCAGCCCAACACATGGGATTTCTGGGCTATAAGCACCCAGGAAAAAATGAATGAGATAATAAGGAAATTAACCCAGCAATTACCCAGGGCATGTTATGGAAGCAGCAAAAAGAGGTAGTATTTTGTCACATAACTGCTGTTTAGCTATGGGAATCTTTACTATTGATCTAACATTGCTGGAGTGTTGTTTCTGCTGTTGCTGATGATGTTGCTTCACTTTGTGCTAATTCATTTAGCTCAAAGTGACTTTGCCCATCAATGTGATCAACAGCTCGTGCAAAGGAAGGTGAAAGGAAAGCAAAGGGCAGTGAGGGGGAATTTGTTCTAGTGTATGGAAAAGCTCCTGATGGATCCTTGCAGAAGTTGGTTTTCTTTTGATCTCCATGTGCAAACATTCATATGCCAGTGACTTACATGAAGCATTATCAGCACATTCCCTTGGTTCTATATTGAGGTTTTATTTGGCCTTTATGTTATTTCTTGTTTTGACTGTTGCTAATACAGAGCTATAGCTTTATCTCAAATTATTATCAATATGAATCTTCAGACTGTAATGTACTGCTCATTCCTGAGGGGAAACTAATGGAGATAATAGAATTTAAATCCTCCATCCTAATGCATTTTTAATGTCCAGAAGTCAACTTGAATACACAAATAAATGAAGTGCTTTGCAAACACATTTAATTTGGAGCAAAGGACTCGGCCGTCCGGGAGCTTCCTGTAAGTTGTTTGATGTCTGTTCTTGTTCTTGCTGGTTCTGTCCTGCACATCCAACAGGCCTCTTATCTCCACCTGCAGAGCTCTCCTGGTGCTGGGCTTCATGTGGTGCCAATCAGACACCCCATAAGTTAAACCTCTTGATGTTCACATGAGCCTCCTTATCACTCTGCTGCTACCACAGCTCAAAGTGTTTCACTCCTTGGGTCGCTGTGAATGCCACAGTTAATACAGCATAGAAACAGATTGGTTTGGGTTGAAGGGAGCTTAAAGCTCATCCAGCTCCAACCCCAACCCCTTCTACTGAAGCAGCTTGCTCCAAGCCCCTGTGTCCAACCTGGCCTCAATCTCAATCTCCCCTCTGGCAGGTTAAAGCCATTCCTTGTCCTGTCCCTGCAGGCCCTTGTCCAGAGCCCCTCTCCAGGTTTCTTGTAGAGCTCTCTGAGCTATTTTGCATCAAAACTCACAGCTGTAACTAACATTTAGGGCTTAGCATGCCAGCAAAAAGAGGGATTTTTAGAATTTGGAGGGGAATGAACCACAAAAACCAATCCAACTTCACAGTATTTGAAATAAAACCCACTGATTTTGTAACAAAATTCTTTTTAACGTAATCATAAGGCGAGAACATCAGTGAACACTTAACTCTGGTGAACTGATATAGAACAAAACTACACAAATGATGATGTTATGGAGGTTGATTTGTGGTGCTGAGCCAGCTGGGATGACAAGAAACTGCCAGAAGGAAGTTCAGCCATGATGACAGCTCTTCCCACTTCCATAGAACACTCAGTAATAGCAAGAACTTCCCATTCAAGCTCTTTATTCTATCCAATACACTCCCTGTATGGGTTTTTACCCCCAGTTCAAATATCCCTGAGCAGTTTCATGCCTTCAGACTGCAAAACAATAGACTATTTCCATTTCCACTGTGGTTATTTACATATGAGCTTCCATAACTAAACCCAAATAGATTTATTCCTTGAAAACTTAGGAAACGGGGTCCATTTAAATGGCAAGTCTACATTTAACACTGCAGTGATGAAAGGCTCATTCCATACTATTAAAATCACTGTCTATATTAGAATATCATTATCAAACCTATCGCTATCAGCCTGACTAACAGCCCATTATTAATATCACCACAGATTTAGGTCATGCTATTCAAAAATAGCATCCTAAATTCATGTTAGGACTTTATGTAAGTAGTTTTGTCATTCACTTCTCATTAGAGAAAGAACTGGAGACTCCTCTGAATGCTGCAGAGATGGGAACACAGGCACGGAATGTGGTGGCATCTGCTTTTGATGATGCTGGTGCTGTTACAGGTGTCCCATTTGCAGGCTCAGCACAATCACCATGGTCTGTTCTTTCTCTTCAGGACTCACACTGGGTTTGATGATGTATTTGGTATTGAGGGCTTTGAATGCTCCTCGTTGCTTTGCTTTTTGAGAGGGGCATCAGTTCTTTTATGCCCAAAGTAGGGGGTTGGAACTGGATGATCTTAAGGTCCTTTCCAACCCAAACCATTCTATGATTCTATGTCACAGAGATTCATCAGTGCTCAATACCATTCACTTTGTACTTCAGCTGTTTTCAGGTAGGGGTGTAATGCAAAATAGCAGAGGAGATGATCTTAATGGGTTTAGACCAGGCCAGGCAATGTGAATTCGTTGAGGTCTGTAATCCCCATATTCAAGCAGATCATTTCTGTTAACCCATGTTCACCCTGGACTACAGGACTGGTTTTCAGCCCTTGGACTTCAGGTTTGCCTGGTACTGAATTAAACTCCAGTAAAGGCATAACCAAGAGCTGGTTCTAAGCAATGGCTTGAACCTGCCCGAGGGGAGACTGAGCTGAGCTCTTAGGCAGAAGCTCTTCCCTGTGAGGGTGCTGAGGCTCTGGCACAGGGTGCCCAGAGAAGCTGTGGCTGCCCCATCCCTGGAAGTGCTCAAGGACACAGGAGCTTGGAGCAAGCTGCTCCAGTGGAAGGTGTCCCTGTCCATGGCAGGGGATTGGAACTAGATGAGCTTTAAGCTCCCTTCCAACCCAAACCATTCTATGGTGCTATTTATGCACTGGACTGAATGGTAGTTGCTTGTTTGTAACAGATCAGCTGCATCTGTAATTATTACAGAGGGAGAAACACTCTTCAGCTGCAGCCATCAGCAGGGAGGAGAAATGTTTAGACCCAGACTGTTGGCTCGTTTCACATCTTCCAGCAGTGCTTAGCTTCTAGTGAATAAAAACCCTTTAATAATATGTGATAATCATAACATCATAGCACCATGGAATGGGTTGGGTTGTTGGGTGGAAAGGACCTCAGAGTTCATCCGGTTCCACCCCCCTGCCACAACCTTGTCTTTAAGCAGTGGGTTGTCTTGTTGTGGTGGTTTCATTGCCTTCCTGCACTTTGCATTGTGAGCCCAGGGCTAAGCTTTTGAGTATTACCTTAGTTTAAGAGCTGTCATTACTTGCAGGCAGTCTGTGGCTCTGGTAATCAGTGAGGGAGGACATCTGCCTAATGAAGTCTATTCCTCACTGTGGAGTGGAGTCAGTCTTCTTCCTCAAGCCTGACACATGCTGTGTGGCACTCTGGAGCTTATCCAGCCTTCGGGGCAGTGTAGTGTCTGCTAAATGTTCAGACTGGGAGCTGATATGTGACCATTGACATCCTGTTCTGCCTTCATGTTTCCTCAGGGAATGGTGCTATCTGCTGAGTACATCAAGAAGAAATTGGAACAAGAGATGGTGCTTTCTCAAGCTTTTGGAAGAGACTTAGTGAGTATTAGTTTCCCCTTATGCTTGTGGGCTATACAGAAGTGATTTCCCTAAAACACTGGTTTTAGGGAAACTTCAGTGTCCCTGAATGTTGCTCTGATTTCCCAGATCTTTCCATCCCTCTCAATTGCCACACAGGGAACTCATTCAGTATTCCCCCAAGGCTTTTTTTATTGTGAAACCACCAACACTACAAAGCTCCTGATGATGGTTTTTGTTTTTCTCAGGCAGAGCTAAGGTAGGAAGTCCCATTTGGTGGCAATGCAGGACAGGGAACACTAAAACCAAATTGACAGGAACTAAAATCTCATTTCTATGGAGATTCTCTTTGGAGGCAGCAATGGGATGCCACACTGACTGCCTCTGTGTGCACATTTCTTGGGATAGACAGCTATCAGAGGACCCAAGAGAGGTGTTAGGAAGCAGCTTACTTTAGCTTATATGTCAGTAATAGCACAGCATGTCCCTCTTTGGGAGGGAACTTCTGAACTGCCTGATTCCCTGCTATCAGACAGCTTTCTTCTTTGCATGCCCAAAGAGTGCTTGGCCTGAGCAGTTCCCATGGGGAAAACAGCAGGAGCTAAAGGAAGAATGAAGAGAGGGCTAAAAACCTCAATGGTTCCCCTAAACTTGAGTCAGAATCATAGAACCCCAGCCTGGTTTGTGTTGGAAGGAGCTTAAAGCTCACCCAGCTCCAACCCCAACCCCTTCCACTGGAGCAGCTTGCTCCAAGCCCCTGTGTCCAACCTGGCCTTGAGCACTGCCAGGGATGGGGCAGCCACAGCTTCTCTGGGCACCCTGTGCCAGCGCCTCAGCACCCTCACAGGGAAGAGCTTCTGCCTAAGAGCTCAGCTCAGTCTCCCCTCGGGCAAGTTCAAGCCATTCCCCTTGGCCTGTCCCTACAGGCCCTTGTCCCAAGCCCCTCTCCAGGTTTCCTGCAGCCCCTTTAGGCACTGGAGCTGCTCTAAGGTCTCCCTGGAGCATTCTCTAGGCTGAACAGGCCCAGTCACATTCTGTTCAGTTTAAAACTGGCTTTATGTATATTGGGTTCAACCTCTGAGGAAATGTATTGTAATGAGCTGGACCTGACCCACAAAGATGGAGAGAGTTTGAATTAACATGGAGCAACCTTCTTGTGTGTGGAAAATTAAGAGCTATCTGAAGCTGAACAGTGATCAATATCTGACAAAGTGCTCTGACCAGAACATTAATGCCATCCAAGGCCCTACCAAAAGTTCATCTACTGTTTCTTAACACTAAACCATCAGTTCTAGTTACCAACAACAGATCTTCAGGGATAAAGTATAAATGAGGTTATAAAGTCTTAGATCTCCCCCAGCATTCACCTTACTGACTGTAACAGGCAGGGTGGTGGCTTGGACGTGGCCTTGAGAAGGAAAATGGCACAAAGATAGATTCTTCTTGTGGGTTGGTCTTATGTTCTATGTGTGCTTTGTAATCTAATGCAGGAAGTCCCAGTGTATTCCCAGGTACTGGATAACAAGAACAGTATAAAACATTAAGGAATACTTCTGTCTCTATTACTTGAGCAGTGTCCTGCTGTTGAGAGCATCTAGACTTAGAAGACTGCCATCAAACTGCTACTTGGATGCTTGCTGTTCAGTGTTGGCATTCCTGAAAGCAAGTCATTTCTAGAACCTGGAGACCTCAGTTTGTGAGCCTCGAGTCAGATATCATCAGAAGGCTCATATCAGATCCTAAATAACTTATGTACATTCCCTTCCTCCTTTTTGTGTTTTAGGGAAGACCCAGTAGGTCAAACACTGCCTGATAGAGATGTAGGAGAGAATAACAGGAGAATGAAGTCTAACACCCCTTCAGCAACACTGCAGGGCAGGAGTGTGCCACTGTGACTCAGCCTAGGCAGTGTAAACCAGAACTCTGCTTCCATTTCACATCTAACATATCCTCACTAGTTCCTATTGATGGAGGAGCTGGTGAGCTGGGGTACTCATGTATAGGAAAGACTTAGAGCAGGGGAAAACGAACAGATCTGGGGGCTGTGGATTTACCTTTTGCTCTGAGCTCAATTTCTTGTTCTATGGCTTTTGTTTCCAGGGGAGAGGAACAAAACACTATGGCCTGATTGTGGTTGGTCATTCCCTAGGGGCTGGCACAGCTGCCATCCTGTCCTTCCTCTTGCGTCCGCAGTACCCGTCACTCAAGTGCTTTGCCTATTCTCCCCCAGGTGGGCTGCTGAGGTAGGTGTTGGGATGGACTGGTGAGGGGGGGGGGGGTGTAGTTGTAGCCTGGATCAGATCCTGTTTGTGATGCTCTGAGGAGCAGTAAAAGACAAGTCTCTGCTCTGAGAAGCTTGCAGGAACATGGAAAGGCTGAAAGCTCTTGGCAGCTTTTGCTCTGTGATATAGTTTAGGTTGTGATTGCATATGGCCATTTTCCCAAATATCCTGATTTATGGCTTAGCTGTCTGTGGCTATAGCTCTGATTTCACCCTGACTGGTGGAAAATGCTCACTGAGTGGACAAGGTGCACTTCCATAGAACCCCAGACTGGTTTGTGTTGGAAGGGACCTTAAAGCTCATCCAGTTCCAACCCTTGCTATGGGCAGGGACACCTTCCACTACACCACGTTGCTCAGTTTTCTGTATTCTCTGCACAGTGCCAGTGTCTCCTCTCCCCACCCGCTGTGAACAGATGGACAATAAGGGAGATACCTGACCGAGTGTAGATTTCTACATCAGTTGATGTACTTGTTTGGCACTTCTGGAGGGTGATTTCTGTCATTCTAAAGGGAGTGCCTAGAATAGGTCAGGTTCATGTGTTTCTTGGGTGCCTGTTTCTCTCCCATTGCTGTAGGAGGGATCTAGGGTTGCTGCCATGGACATCTTTAAAGAGAAGTGTGGTGAATTCTTCCCACTGTAGACTGGGACAGACCAGCTGATCATGTTATTTATGTGGCAGCCAAACCAAACTATCCCACTTGGTTGCTGTAAAGTAACATAAAGTCTTTGTAGTTTCAGACCTCATGGGGGCACTTAAAAGCAGCTATGGATTATCAGAAGCTTCTTGTGATAGTGACTGCATCATGTTCCAGGAGTAGGCAAAGGGTTTTACACCATCCTGCTAATGTATCTGGATACTGGCCTTGCTGTGATAGGTATCCCTGCTCTTCAGCTGCAGAGGAGTTGCTCTGTAGGATGTTTCTTGAGGGTTGATAGCTTTTTGCTCAGTTTCCACTCCTAACATCCCTCAGGCCAAGCTGTGCTGCGTTACCTCAACTGGTCCAGGGGTGCCTTTAACTGCCACACTTCTGTTGTGCTGTGGTCCATGCCCAGGATCACCTCTAGGTCAGTGATGCAGCCTCTGCCTGTGGAAACTGGTTTGGAGCATCTCTAAGAAGGTGGCTGATTGCAGAACCAGCTCATAGAGTGGAAGCCTTAATTCCCTCTTACCTCAGTTCTCAGGTTGCTACAGAAAGTGGCCACCTTAGTTCTACAGCATCCTTGTAAAGTAGTCTCAGGAGGATGGGATATCTTCTTAAATTCTGCTGTCCTGGCCATTCCCAACCTTGGAAAATGACTATGAAGCATCAAATTAAAGTACTTTTGCAAGTCTATTCAGAGCCATATGCAGAGTAGTGTTACTTAGGACACGAGATGTGAATAATTCAGCTTTTCTTTACTAAGATGCAAGTCCCCAGAACCTTGAGCATCTTGGGGTTTGGGGTTTATGGCTGTTTGGTAACTCGTCTGACACCAGTGTCAAATTTGGGGATGAAGTGCATTGAAACACTCTTTGCTTCTTCTTGGTCCTGTTTCTCTTCCAGTGAGGATGCCATGGAGTATTCAAAAGAGTTTGTGACTGCAGTCGTGCTTGGCAAAGATCTAGTGCCCAGGCAAGTGGAGAAGTGTCTCAGTGTCTTGATGAGTATCTGTTCTGCACACAAGTCATCTCCTTCCTGTCACAAACACCTCAGTCATATCTGTCTTCACTTTCCTCATTCACCCATCCTTGTTACTTCTTTGGCTTCTTGTATGGCTGCATCTTTCACCTGGACATCCATACTGGTGTTTGAAACAGCTTTCTATAGGCATACCCCTGGCCATCTCTCAGCTGCCTGTATGAAAGAAAAGGGTGAATATCCTGCCTCTAATTACAGTATCTGACATGTCAATGCCATCTTGCCTTTGTTATCTTGGACTTCTCTGCTCTGAACTAAATGTCCTGTCATCTCATTTTGTACTATCTGTCCCTGAATACTTATTCCATATCACTTCACATCTCTGAATCAGCTCCTTCATTTCTTGTGTCTTGGCATCTCTCACCTCTCCTCCTGGGACATGTTCTGGTGAATGGGGCACTAGATTAGAAGCCAGACTAGCTGAGTTTTCCTTTTGCTTCTGGCCCTGTTCTGTGACCTTGGATAAATGGTGACATTTGTCTGTACACATACAGAATTCAGTGGAGGAAAAGTACTCCACAGTACTGAATATAGAATCAGAATCATAGAATGGTTAGGGTTGGAAAGGACCTTAAGATCATCAAGTTCCAACCCCCCTGCCATGGGCAGGGACACCTGGCTCTAAACCATAGCTTTTGGATAACCTGTATGACAAAGTCTTTTCCATCCTATAATCTAGTGGTGCCACATAACTGTGGCACCTTCACTTACCTGTTCTGTGTCATCCTATACTTGTCATTGCTCACTTGTTCCTGTGATTGCATCATCTCCCTTATCTGTTCATTGACCTTTCTCATATCTGTGTTCACTGATCTCACTCTATTACATTCTGTACTTCTTTATTGTCATGATGGTTTCCTGCAGCCTCTTAACCATGGTTACTGGTCCTGGCTGATGCCACAACCCTCCTCTGAAATGATCTGTGTTGTATTCTTGTAGTAGCTTCAGTAGCAGTTTCTTGTTGTTCTGTGCTGTGTGTTCCTATGGTCCTGTTCCCTGACACGTCTTCCTCTTTTCCAGAATTGGACTCTCTCAGCTGGAGGGATTTCGCCGGCAGCTTCTGGATGTTCTTCAGAGAAGCAACAAACCAAAGGTAAGAGTAAAGATCAGCAAACACCCAAAGTGTCTCTGGACAGTGATGGTGAGCTCATAGTGTCACACAGCAATACTGCACACTGCCCCTGCCCTCCAGCTCTCCTTAAGTCATAGAATCACTGAATCAACCAGGTTGGAAAAGCCCTTTAAGCTCATCCAGTCCAACCGTTCCGCAGCCCTGCCAAGGCCACCCCTAACCCATGGCACTGAGGGCCTTGTCTATTGGGTTTGTGCACACTTGCAGGGCCGGTGCCTGCAGTCCCGCCCTGGGCAGCCTGTTCCAATGCCTGAGCACCCTCTGGGGCAGGAATTGTTCCTCAGCTCCATCTAAACCTGCCCTGGTGCAGCTTGAGGCCGGTTCCTCTTGTCCCATCCCTTGTTCCTTGGGAGCAGAGCCCAGCCCCTCCTGGCTCCATCCTCCTGTCAGGCAGGTGTAGAGAGCAATAATGTCCCCCCTGAGCCTTCTCTCCTCCAAAAGCCCACTGTGACCACTACCTGCATGACCAGAGGAGTGATGCTAAGAGCTTGAAGGCAGCTAGAAGGGTCAGGGCAAAGGGCTGTGCTTCATTTGCAGGCTGCATGATGACTGCTCCACATATCTCAAGTTCACAGGCCTACACTGAGCAGGGTATTTTCTCCTCTAAGCCTGTTTTGAAGTCTGTGTTCCAACTGTAGCTGTTCTTGGCCAGTAACAAATGGTAACAGGCTAGGGAGTACAACAGTTGTCTGTGTGTAGACACTGCTGGTGCTGTTCTAGGATAAGCGGTCTGTTCATGTTTTGAAGATAGGATATGTGGGAAGTTGTTCCTCCCCAGGCTTCTTTATCATTAGGCTGTAGTGGAAGAAAACCATAAGGCATTAAGATTACTAAGGGTAAAATATTCTAGAAATGACCTGTAGAGGGAGAAAACTGAGTTGTATTTGTTTTTCATGTGTTCTGTGGGGTCTGTGTTTTGGCTTTGGGGGTTATGGTGAATTTTGGGGGTTTTAGGATTTCTTTTAGTGCATAAAGGCCTAAACAGATTGTTTTGCCTGTGTTGTATAATCTATTGCTTATGTTTGTACATTAAACATTCAGATTCCATCCACCTTGTTTAGCCTGGAAGATACCAAGTTATCAGCTGGGGGATAAGTTGGTGCTTGCTCTAGATCCTTAACTCTGCAATATCCTCCAGCAAAACCAAGGAATTACAGAATCATGGAAGGGACCTTAAAGCCCATCCAGTTCCAAGCCCTGCGATGGGGAGGGACCCCTTCCACTGGAGCAGCTTGCTCCAACCCCTGTGTCCAACCTGGCCTTGAGCACTGCCAGGGATGGGGCAGCCACAGCTTCTCTGGGCACCCTGTGCCAGCGCCTCAGCACCCTCACAGGGAAGAGCTTCTGCCTAAGAGCTCAGCTCAGTCTCCCCTCGGGCAGGTTCAAGCCATTCCCCTTGGCCTGTCCCTACAGGCCCTTGTCCCAAGCCCCTCTCCAGGTTTCCTGCAGCCCCTTTAGGTACTGGAAGGCTGAGATGTTGCTGCTTCTAAAATTGGGAAAGGAAGGAATAGCTCTTCCAGGCAGGATTCTCTCTCTCTCTAGGTCTGTTATTTAAGCAATTGGGTGCAAGACCTGGTTTTTCTGCTGCCAGGTATTCAGTTTAAACCTCTCAGTAGTGTCTTGAGATGACTCTGCTTTTCTGTGTTGCTTTTCTCACCTCAACCCTCTCCCTGCTTTCTCTTGTTGTTGGACAGTGGCGCATCATTGTGGGTGCCACGAAGTGCATCCCCAAGACAGAGCTCCCTGAAGAGACAGAAGAGAACTCAGTCACGAGTAACCGCCTCTGGACCCACCCCAGTGACCTGACCATTGCCCTGTCTGCAAGCACACCCCTGTACCCCCCAGGCCGCATCATCCACGTGGTGCACAATCACCCTGCAGAGCAGTGCTGGTGAGTATCTGCAGAGCAGCACAACCAGCCCACAGTGGGGGTGGAAATTGCCCTTAGGAAAAGACTTTCCAGGACAGAAACCCATCTATGAAGGTGATTTTTTGCCCCCCACACACTGTCTTATAGTGACAGTGATTGTACTGTCAGAATGAAAAGATCATGGAATGGTTTGGGTTGGAAAGGACCTTAAAGTTCATCCAATTCCAACCTGCTGCCACAGGCAGGGACAGCTTCCACTAGAGCAGGTTGCTCCAAGCCCTATCCAACCAAAGATGGTCATGTCACTGTTGGCTAGTGCAGTTTGGAACAATGGCAGTACCATGTGTACTTTAACATCTTTTCCCTCTGTTTCCCCTCCTGTTGCTTTCGTCTCTGCAACCTGCTGTTTCTTTTGCATGCCAAAATATTGGCCTGTTCTTTCATCCGCTGCTCTCTGCCTTTCCCTCTCTTTGGATCCCAACTCTTCTTCCAGTTGCTGTGAGCAAGAGGATCCCACTTATTTTGCCATCTGGGGTGACAATAAGGCGTTCAATGAAGTGATCATCTCGCCGGCGATGTTGCATGAACACCTCCCATACGTGGTCATGGAAGGGCTCAACAAGGTAATGCAAAGAATTAGGATCATAGAATCAACAGGTTGGGAAAGGTCAAGTCCAACTGTTCCCCAGCACTGCCAAGGCCACCACTGACCCATGTCACTAAGGGCCTGATGGGTGACTGAGCTGGTGTATATGATGGTTGTAGAGTGGGTCTCTGTCCCTAAGCTCTACAGTTCCCAGCCATGCAGCTCTACCATGGAGGTTTAGCCACATCTCATCTGCCCTGCTGATGTGAAGGTGCCTCCCCAGCACTGAATTCCCAGCAGGGCATTTGGGCAGGATGAAGTGTATCAGGATGTATTGATCTAACCCTTTATCTCAAGATCTTACTCTGTGCTTGCAGGGTAAGAAATAGGCCTTTACCTTGCAGGCCCTGGTAGGAAACAGGGGCAAATTCAGCTATTTGAAAGCCCTGAGCTGAGAACAGTCTCCGCTAAAGCACTGACTGTTCCTCTGCTTCCCTTGAATAGGTCCTGGAGAATTACAACAAGGGGAAAACAGCTTTACTTTCTGCAGCCAAAGTGATGGTGAGTCCTACAGAAGTGGATCTCACCCCGGAACTGATCTTCCAGAGTCAGCCCTTGCCCAGTGGCCCTTCAGTGCAGATCGGAACTGGAGCCATAACAGCGGACAGAAGGAACAGCAGTACTAAGTAAAGATCTCTTTGGTTTCTTGGAATGGTTGTTGGCTCTTCGTGGGCCTTCTTTCTCTTGGGGTGTTGTGATTGATGTTTGTGGGAAGGGTGAATACAAGGGCTGCCTTTTGGGGGGCTTTGCTTAGCTTTAGTATGTCCTGTGTCACGTTGAGAGGGAGGAAATCCTTTATGTGCTGTGAGGTGAGGAGAACCTGGAAGTGTGAAACTCCTTCTCCATCCTTGTCGTGGCAAATGAGAGGTGAAGGAACATCTAGAAGGTATGTCATGGAGTGATAGGAAGAAGAGCTTGTTCTTGGTGGTGTGTGTGAACAGCTTTCCTCTAGGAGCCAGTGGCAGAGAGACTCCTTGCAGGCTTTCAGATGATGTTTGAGGCATTGCAGGACCCCAGATTTGCAAGAAGCAAAGCAAATAAGTATAAAAATGTGGGCAAAGGCTTATTTCAAAGTTGCAACACGATTTCCATCACAGAGTTGCATTACACAGGGCAAATTTGCAGACAAAACAGGGGAGGTGAGGGAAGAAAGATAGTTCATAGTCGCAGATAGGAAATGGTGGTTGTGAGTGGATACAAAGACAACAGTGTGGGTGGGAGAAGATTATTTCTTTGCAAGGGAAGCACTTCTGTGGAGATTACAGGTAGAGACCCAACAAGAAGCTCTGTGTGTGTGTGGGAAGAGGCAGGGTGAGATGGTCTTTACTGAGCATCCTTGAGATAACATGAGTGAAGTTTAAGCTTAAACGAAACAAAAGACAGCAAATAATATGAAAGTGGTGAGGTTCTTGTCTTGGAGAGAGTGATAATGGCCAGTAACAGTGAAGGAGAGCTTAGAAGCAGAACTGCAGCTGAGATGAAACAGCAGGAGAAGGGGTCAGCCCATGTTGTGAAGGCTACAATAAGCCTACGAAAATGAAGTAGGTCAAGCAGGGAGAGGAGCAGTGGTTTCTGTGCACACCCAAAGAGCTGCTTCCCTTTGAGGTGAGTGAAAGCAGAGGGGAAATTCTGAGATCTGAAAGGGATGAGGGAGAGGGCAGAGAGGCTTCAGGGAGTGCCATAGTGGAAATGGTTGTAGGCTGGTTGTGTTTGATCCGAGGTTAGAACTGGTTTACTGCATCACACTGCCTTCTCTGGGGTTCTGGAAACCTGTTCTTAGATGACTATTGAAGCTAAAGGGATCAGATCTTGGCCTAACTTAAAAGCTTCTCCCTGTCCATCAGGTCCTCCTGGCAGGTGCAGCAGTCCTCTGCCAAGCTCAGGCTCTTTTCCCAGGTATTCCTTCCTTTTCCCAGGAAGCTTGGAGCAAGCTGCTCTAGTGGGAGGTGTCCCTGCCCATGGCAGGGGGTTGGAACTGGATGAGCTTTAAGGTCCCTCCCAACCCAAACTATCCTGTAATTCTATGGTATTTCCTTAAGTTCTTGTCTTTAAGGGCTGTTGCTTTGTCTGCAGCTCATCTCAAGCTTTGTGTGTGCCTGGTGGGGGGAGCTCCTTCCCTGTGTCTTTGACATGGTGTCTTTCTGGACGAGCCCTGCCTGATCCTTTGAAGTCTTAGTGTAACTGGTGTCTTTCTCAAGGTCTTCACTTGGCTTAAGCTGAATAAATTGCTTTTTTACCTGTCTTAAAGCCTGCCACCTGAAATGATAGCTGAATTGGGCATGGGCAATGCTCTAACAGCCTCCAGGCATCGGTGGTAGCAAAGCAGGGACTGCCAGCATGGAGCAGGAGGGGAAGGCATGAGACTGGAATGGTTCCAGAGTGTGAGAAGAAAGAGTAATAAGTTAACTGCAGGCTGATCCTTCAACTTCTCATGCCCCAGTCCTCTCTTGATACAGAGAGAGGGGTTTGCATGCGTGGAACCTAAGTGAAAATGGTGCTTGAGAGGGAACGTATTTAGCCAAGAGAGAAGGGAGAAGGGCAAGAACCTGAGTTTGCAGAAGGGAGAAACCGTACCTAATACTTTCAGGTGGGAGGATGGAGACATAAGGGGTTTCTTGCCGTTATGGAGTGCTCTGGTTAGAGCAGCCAGGGTGTACAAGGACCTCTGTTCTTGGTTCCTGTGGCTGTTGTGGCAAGTTGTGGTTGGTTCTCTGGTGTGATGCGGCCTCACGTTGTCTGTTTCTCATTGCAGGAGCAAATCCCATTCTGAGATCAGCTTGGAAGGCTTTTATGAGACAAAGCCACTTTCCCCTGTGCAGAAAGACCCCGTGGAGCTGCTTCTCCTGGACACAAAGGAACGTCTATCTGTGGAGCTGCAGGACCGCCGTGCCCCTCTTGCCACCATGGAGAGCCTCTCAGACAATGAATCCCTGTACAGCTTTGATTCCAGGCGCTCCTCTGGTTTCCGGAGCATTCGGGGCTCTCCCAGCCTCCATGCTGTCATGGAGAAGGATGAGACCCACTGCTTTTATATAGACCCTGTTATACCTGAGGAAAACCCTTCCCTCAGCTCCCGGACAGAGCTGCTGGCTGCTGACAGCCTCTCCAAGCACTCCCAAGAGACCCAGCCCCCTGACAACGTGCTCAACAGTGGTGGCACTACCCCACAACGACGCTGCAGCGAGGAGGGAGCCAGCAGCGAGGGGGACCGTGTTTCCTTACCCCCTCGTGAGGAGTTGTCCCTCCAGAATGGACGTCTCACTGATGTTCCCAGTCCCCAAGTGTTGGAATTTGCTGAGTTCATAGACAGCCTCTTTAATTTGGATAGCAAAAGCAGCTCCTTCCAGGACATCTACTGCATGATGGTGTCAGACAGCTCCAGTGACTTTGCAGAGATGCCCAAATCTGTCAGTGATCAAGAGATCCTGTTGAGGGCACAATATGAACCCAACTTAGTCCCTAAGCCCCCGAGGTTGTTTGCAGGCTCAACAGATCCTTCGTCGGGCATCTCTGTGTCCCCCTCTTTCCCCCTTAGTTCATCTGGAGAACTCATGGACATCACTCCTACAGGTGTGAGCAGCCAGGAGTGCCTGGCTACTGAGAAAATCCGGACTTCTACCCCCTCTGGGCATGTAACCAGCCCTGCCAAGCAGGACGACCTCATGATTTCAGCCCTCTAGTTGCAGGGTAAAAGGGGTGCAGCTCTGAGAGCTGATCCCATAGGCTGAGTGCTGGGATAGTACTTGGAGGAGGAAGAGGTGGTCATGGGGCAGTTCAGATCAGAGGAGACAGTTGGAAGTGTTCCTTCTGGGGGTGACACAGTGGTGGCACGTTGGTGTCTGGAGGATGGGCTGGGAGAAGCAGCATTGCCTCACAGGGTCTGCTACAGGGCTTGGGTCTCTAAAGGTAGATGGAAGTTCCCTACCTCAGCCTGTCTCATGGCATTCCTGAGGCAGATTCCTTGCCCCAGGGCACCTGCTGAGTTTGGGAGTGATATATCCTGCTTCAGGGAATCCTCTGGGCTGAAGGCGTGGATTCTCTGAACTCAAGGATTGAATAGATTGAGGGAGCCAGGCCAGATCCCCACCTTGGTACCATGTCAGTGGGTTTGGAAATGAATGGATTGAGACTTTGGGCCCTATTGCACTACCAGGTTGGATCTGGCCCAAGATCCAATCCATCCCACTTCCATAGGCACTGCTTTTATAGGACACTCTTCTGATCTAAAGCCATTGGGGCTATATTCTCCCCACATGCAGTCTCCCATCCCCTGGCCAGGTACAGCAAGAACAGGGCTGGCACTGTGCTTTCTCTCCCCTGAGTCCTGTGTTCAGTGACCATCAGGCTGCTGCTGAGAGGGAAGGACACTGTTCTGAAGAGCCAAAGCCCTCTGCACGTCCCTCCTTTGCCAGAAAGAGTTCTGGATGTCACCACCATCACTTCTCAGCTCCCTGGACCGCTCTGAGCTGGCCACATTCCTGCAAGGCCTGACAGGATCCTCATCTTGGAGCTGCATGGATGGATCAACTTCAAACAACAACAGGCTTCTCAACACCCAGTGTTATGTGCCAGGCCCTTGTGGAGCCTGGGAGCCTCTTCTGGGTCCTCACACCACCCATATGCCATAGTCACAGAGCAGTGCCAGCCTCTGTCATTGGGAGTTCAGGGGAAAGATGGACTTTTACAAGAGTATTGAAAAATTACAAGAGTATTGCAAAAATACTCTTTTTCAGTACAAAAATTACAAGAGGATTGAAATCTCTTGTATGTTTACAGAGCTGCTAAGCTGCTTGGAAGGTATTTATTAAGCAAACAGGGAGGATTTCCCTCAGCTAAAAGCGTGTTCATCCTCTCCTTTCCTGTGCTGTTGCCTCTGGGATCCAAGGGGATAGAGGATGGGCAGGTATGATTGCAAGTCCTCTGCTTTTCAAGTGGCTCAGAGCCTGGGGGGAAGCATTGTGCATCCCTCACCCACCCTTCCTTGGCTGCCCCTCCATTGCACACTGCTGCATTGCAAAGCTTGACCAAGGTACCAGAACTCCCTGAGCACTGCTGTGCAGAGCCTCAGGGCCTGGAGGAGCCTCCAAGACCTTTCCAGGCAGGGACTTGCCAATGATGGGAGCAGGAGAGAAACTACCTATTGAGAGAGTTTAAACGTACTGTGACCTGTAAAAAGGCCTTGCATTGACACAAACCCTTCATATTCAAGCTCTGCAGTCATCAGTCAATCTCACTGGAGCTCTGTCCTTCCTCACTGGAACAGAAAGTCCCATTTTAACTCCTTTGTAATGACAGAGATGTTCATTGCTCTCCTTCCCCCTCCTTAGTTGTGATCTTTCCACTGTGGGAGGATGCTGTGCTTCCCAGGCTCATGGCAAGCCTCTGGGCTCCTGTTATCCCTATCCTGGTATCCCACAGCCTTTAGCTGTGGTCACTGAGTAGTCTCTTAAAACCCCAGATGTGGGTCAGGGCTGTTCTGTCCTGGACACCACAAAAACCAAGTGGCATCAAGTGCCATCGAGTCAGGACTGGAGCACTTTATTTCCATCAGTGCACACTGGTTATAACCTCAGGTGCATGGAAGTGAACTGGAGTTTGTGTCCAAATCCCACAGTTTAGCCTGGGGTACCGTGTTCCTGATCCTCACACATTACAGGGCCTTCAGAAGCACAGGGGCTTTGTTCAGTGGGCAGTAAAATACTGTCCCTAAAACACTGGGGTTTAGGTCCCAAAGGTGACCTTTACTGTCTTGAATTAGAAGTAAGAACCCCCTTTGAATTTCAAGTCATTTCTAAGAGTAAAATGATTTTAAAAGCAAAACCAAGTTACTTTTCCTCCTTGTAGATCCTTCAGGAAAGAGCAGTGTTGTTCCCTTTGCTGAGAGCTTGTTCAGGAGCTCCCCTAAAGCAGCTGTGTAAGTGCCATCACATCACCCACTCTTGCAGAGCACGGGGTAAGGCTGACTTGCTGCCCACACCCAAGGCACACTAAAAAGGTGGTGTCCAGGAAGACACACAATAAACTTGGGGGTGGTTTTGAGGGGGAAAGGGGATGTTGTAGCATCGGAAGGCTGAGGCTAGCAGGCTGGCTCTCCTCCTGATGCAGACTGCTCACCCATGTTGCTAAGAGAAGGGGAAAGGAGTTAATCTCTGCCTTTAATCACTGGCAGAAGATGGGTAGGAATCACTTAGCACTTAGGCAGAGCTTTATATCTGCAAAGCACTTTACAAATGCTAAGGAAAGAGTCATCTCTGGCCCTAGCAGTGAGGTGGTAGGAGATGGGTATCTCTGACACTAGGTGGAACTACTGGTGCCCTACCAAGGATGGTGGGGAGATGCCTCAAGGTGAGGAAGGTGGATTATCTCCCTCTGCTGTTTCAGTGATGACCTGAGGGTGGTTAATGGGTTATAATATTGCACTAGAAAGTCACTTCTGAGCTTGGGCATACATCCACTACATCCTGGAAGACACAATCCTTGTGTGTGATTCTTCCCTTCTCTGTGCCATTGGAACTGTGTCCCAAGGGAATGGATTTACCTTGCCCTGACCAGCCATAGCAGGAAACAGCCTGGCATGCTGCATTATTTGGCTTTGTGCTCTGTGGTTATTAGGTTCCTACTGAAAAGCCTGGAAAACACCTAATGCTTGTGACCTGGCCTTGCCATAGATCAAGGCAGTAAAGGTGCAAAAGGGCCTTAGTTAAAGGTCTTGTATCACATTATGTGTAATTCCTGGCTTTCTTTGTTCTCTTTGACAAACAGATCTGTTCTCAATCACAAGTAAATCCATGTTCTTGGCATTATTTCTGCTTTAAATGGCTTTCTCTGTCTTCATTCTTATCAGTCCTTTCCTCAAAGAGTATTTGGAGAGGCTGATCTCCTGTTTCATCCTGGAAGAGTCTATCTGGAGAGCTAAGCATGAAGCTTGTAGCTACCTCCTTTGCACTGCACTTGGTTGGCTGCTTTCTCTGCCCTCGCTCCTCTCTGATGTCCTTGGAAACATGAAGTATCCTCACGTTTCTTAATCTCTTGTCTTCTGGTTCCTACTCTTCAGCTTTGTGCCTTTGAATCTTTAGGTGTTCCCATGAAATTTCAATGGGATGTTCCAGCCAGCAGTGCTGGAAGTGCTGTTCCTCGTGCCTGACACCCCAGCTCTAAGCAGCAGCTCATCAGCTCCATAGCACATCCTTAAAATGCCCTCCAAGAGCTTTGTGGTACAGCTGAGGCCACAGCATTCATGGAGAGCTAAGAGTGGACTTTATGCACCTTAAAGTGAAGGAAGTGCAACCTGCTTCACCAGCACAGCTTTGCTGGAGTCCAGCAGGGTTCTCTGTCCCTCCATGATCTCCTGGTGTAGCAGATGACATTCAAGTGGGTACCTGACACTTGCTGCTGCATCCTTCTTCATGATGCTCTTGGCAGACTGTAGTGAAATGTAATCCTGAAGCCTTGAAGAGTTCAAGGGTCCTTTACAGAGGCCCTTAACTAAGTGTGTGTTGAGCTCAGTCCCACAGTTTAGCAGGGTCAGAGGCAATTCTTGTGTTCAAAGACCAGGTTGGACGGGGCTTGGAGCAACCTGCTCAAGTGGAAGGTGTCCCTACCTGTTTCATGGGGTTAGAACTGGATGAATATTAAGGTCCTTTCCAACTCACATCAGTCTGGATTCTATGATTTCCATTGTTGATGGGAGTCTTGTTTCCCTTTGAATTGGCTGGGCTGGAGCAATGCTTGGGGCTGGGTTCACTTTGTCCTTATGTGTGCCCATTGCTGGGATATTCTCTTCCTTTGGAGGATTCTGGCTTTGTAGGAAGGGTAGAGTAGCATTTGATAACCGTTATCTTAGGTATAGTGGTTGCAGCTACCCTCTGCAGAGCGTGTTAAGCAACACAGGTGAGTCATTTGCTTGTAAAGTGGTTTATAACTTATTAAATGTAACAGAAATATTGGCAGACACTTAAAATAACCTTTAGCTCTCAACCTGCCAGCTTTGCTGCGTGCTGAAAAGCTCCTTCAGCTTCTCTCCTATCTATAGCATCGCATTTGTTCCTTTCTGCTCAGACAACTGAAGTCTGAGATGGCTTTTGCTGACAATCCTTCCATGCTGTCAATGCTCATCATGCCTTCTCTTTGGATTCACTCCCCTAAAGCTGGATCTTTGTGGAGTGCTGTTACTTCATTATGCTGCTGCAAACAGACTCTCTCAGAGCTGCTCTGCACTTTAGGAAGCTTATAGACAATCTGACATCCTCTTTCTAGTTGGAATAGCTTTGGGTGAACAGGGTTTTTCTGCCCTGTGAGGGTGCTGAGGCGCTGGCACAGGGTGTCCAGAGAAGCTGTGGCTGCCCCATCCCTGGCAGTGCTCAAGGCCAGGTTGGACACAGGGGCTTGGAGCAAGCTGCTCCAGTGGAAGGGGTTGGGGTTGGAGCTGGATGAGCTTTAAGGTCCCTTCCAACACAAACCACTCTGGTTCATGTTGGGTAAGTGCTCCCTCATTAGAGTTCTGTAGCAACAGAAGTAATGAGTTCCAGAAGTAACATAAAAGGGAAATGGGTTGAACATCCAGCACACTGAATCTGAAAGCTCCGTGTAACAACCAAGACATTGAACATGGGTGGTTGTTTCTTAGCTGTGAAATCATAGAGTGGTTTGGGTTGGAGAGAATGATCCAGTTCCAACCCCTGCTATGGACAGGGACACCTCACACTAGACCAGGCTGCTGTAGTGAGAAGATGCTTGCAGTGAACCTGGTGCCTCTTCAGCCTGCCTGGGGAAAGGGAGGGTTGGAGATCTCCCAGTGCTTTAGCACCGGCTGCTCTGATGCCCTGAATGAAGGAGTATCTGGCTCTGAAGCACTGGGAAGCACTGGCTGGATCAGGCTTTTTGGCACATTCTCCTCGGAGCCTGTGCAGTGCTGAACTGGGATTTAGGCAAGAGCCGCATCTCTGGTGCCAAAGCTCCCTCTCATGGCGCTCCTGTGTGGAGGAGGCGATGCTCCGTGTGGCAGGCAGAGTGCATCCTGCTGGGGGCAAACCTTCCTGGCGCTTAAGGGAAGAAAGGGACATAAAGATTGCAGCCGAGTGATGGGACCTGAGCTGGGAATTCCTTGCTCCCCAGTGAGATGCTCATACTGGTGTTAGGGTGAAGTGCCAGATGTGAAATAGTGTACTGCATACAGTGATGTTCTTCCCCCTGCCAGCTCCTGAGTGGGCTCTGTCTGCTCTGGTCCCCTCAAGGAAGGAGCCACTGCCCCTTGGGGTGAGATGTGGCAGGGATGAGCCTGGAGACCTGGGGTTTGCTTGCATCAGGGTTTATGTTCCAGCTCTGAGAGTCAGGGTCTTCACTGCTAAGATGAGTGTTCCACCTCAACCCTATTAGTCTGTGAGCTCTGTGGTGGTAGAGTGGAGAAACACTTGAGGAAGGAGGTTCCTGCTGTGTGGAGGGCAGCGTATTGCAGGGCTTCTGCAAACAGCCACACTTCTGCTGTCCTGTATCTGCATTCACCACCTCCCTGAGAGCTGTTCCCCTCTGCACAGGAGGGTGTTGGTAGAATAAACTTCATCTGCTTTAAGGATATGGAAATTCATAGCAATCCAGGAGAGAGCAGTTCCTCCCTTTGCCATAGGGACTTGCTGTCTCAAAAAGCATCATTTGTCTGCAAGCACTTTGCTGTCTCTGTTCCTATTATGGTTCCTTTGCTTCTTTTCTTGAGTTCATACCTGTTGTGCCTTTGCTTTCCTTTGACTTGGGACAGGACATTTGCCAGCTTCCTTTCTTCTGCTTGTTGGTTCTTATTTCAGTGTGTGAAAGGGAATGCAGCGTGGCCAAGGACTAGTTCAGAGTTGCCTTTGCTGCCA